TATCAGTGGTTAGACTTATAAAAATCAGTTGGGCTAAGATTTATTGACCTCAACTAACAATTCACATACAAATGAAGAAAACTACACTAGCAAACAAAATAAAACATAAACAAATACTACCTCAACTACAAATTTAATTTGTACATGCCTATATACTATAATTGGCTTAATATCAATTTGACCTCACGCAATCAATTGATTAGCAGAGAAACTGGTATATATGGAAATCATAGAAAACATAATTTGACCACATGCAATCAATTGATTAGCAGAGAAACTGGTTTGCTGATATATATGGAAAACATAACAGTAAATAAACATAATAGTTAACAAGACTGTGATAAGAGTCCTTTTGTGGTAATGGTTTAAGTAAGTCGACGTAAAATCGTTTTGTATTTATTTCAAACTAACCAAAACTATTACTCTATATATTATCATCTCAGGTTTATGAGGTTGCCATAAACAACCATTTTTCGTTTAAGATTAGAAGATTATGACATATGTTAAACTTATGGGTAAACAGAGTTTACTTTTTTAACATAAAATCACGGAAAGATTAGTACGTTTCCATAAATTTCATCAGGTATTTTTATTTGATCGATATTGTTGTTATAGCTAGGTTGACTTATGTTTCAAACTTTTCTCTCCGAAAGTAAAATATAAGGCTAAATTCAAACAGTAATCATAAACGTGCCCCGAAAAAAAAACGAAGAGGAAAGTCCAGAATCTTAAAGGAACCAATTAGCAATTTAGTACTCTTATTCATTAGTCCCCTTTTTATTTTTAATATCCAACGAATAAAGTAAAGGCAAAATCGTGATACGGGTTCCACTTTCGATAGTTTAATATTTTATGATTATATGTAAATCATATATTTCAGCCACAAAAAAATGATTAAAATTGTATAGGAAACCCACTATCTACTTTTGTTTTTAGTTGAAGAATATGTCATATTTTGAATCTCGAGTTAAAAATTAATTTTTAATTAAATCATCTTAGAATACGAATGTCACCCTTGCCATTACGTTTGGCGTTTATACATTATGCATAATTAATGTCCAAAAGTAGTGGTCGGGAAGTTATATGAGATCCATCACATGATCCGCCAATTATTGTCTCGGTTTCTTTCAAATTTTCATATATTCTGAGTCTTTCAATGGTCCGTTCCGCCATGAAATATATCAGGGTTATAACTCTATTAGTCACCAATTTATAATCTAACACAATCCTAAAGGCCAACCTCAATCTTTCAGCATTAACGAACTGTCAAGTACGCTTCTAACGTTTTCTAAACACAAGAACAACGAATATATCTACTATATATGTTTCTCATTATATAGCGTAAGCTACCATTGTGTTGAATTCCATGTAGATGAGGAATCATGAATGTTCCAAGACCTTTAACCCTAGATTCTAGCTACTTGATCAAATTGTTCAAAAATCTTCTCAGCTAGCTTTCACTATTGCCATACAACATTATTTATGCTGATTTTCCATCACCAATTTAGCGTGATTGTATTACGTTCCACTACAAAAAAACATGTCATATTCTTACGAAAATTCCTACGATTGTATTTGGTAGAAATATTTTTCACCAATTTCTTACGCAATTATGACGAAAAATAAAAGTGGTAGAACATATGTAAGAAATTTCCTATGAAAGAAAATGTCAAAAAGTGATAGGATATATCCAACCAATAACCTACCAAATTTATATCGTAGAAAATACAGTCAAAATTTGGTAGGAAAGTTGTAGGACCCAATTGCCTGTTACACTAGTGGAAATTTCGTAGGAAATTGTCCTACGGATTTTCTATGAAATATTGTTTGTAAAAAAATCGTAGAAATTTTGTAGGAAAATATGTCTTTTTGTTGGTCCCACATCGAAAAGTTAAGAATTTAGATCAAAAAATTATACTATAAATAAAGCAAAATTAAAATTTTCTACGGATTTCCTACGAAATATTGTTTGTAGAAAAATTGTAGGAATTCCGTAGGAAACTATGTTTTTTTGTTTGTTCCATATCGACAATCTAACATAATTTAGGTGAAGAAGTTGCTCTATAAATAAGAGTCTTCACCTTCTCTCCCTCTAGTTAATAATTACGTAGTCAAATTTTAGGCTTATAGTGATTAGAAATTTTTTTTTTGTATATATTTTATTAATCAAATTTATAATTAGTTTATATTTTAATTTAAATTCAATTTCTGATATTAATTTAATTTTTAATTTTTATAAAATTATATTGGTAAAAAATTGGTAGGAAATTAGTAGTAAAAAATTAATAAAAAATCGTAGGACATAGGTAAGTGATGTTTCGTAGGAAATTGGAAGTAACGCTAATCGATAGAAAATGGTAATAATTTGGTAGGAAAGTTCTACTAAATTTTTCGTAGGAAAACTGTTCTACCAACATTTTCGTAGGAAAATTCCTACAATTTCTTTCTTTTTACAATTTTCGATGGCCGATTTCCTACAAATTTTAGGTTCTACTAAAGAACCGTTTCTTACGTATTTTTGATGATATTTTCCGTAGGTTTTCGGCATATTTTCTTCTAGTATTCGTAGAGCAAAATCAATGGTTAGGAAATGGGTGAGTTAAAATTGACCAGTCTAAAAATTACGGTCTATGGCGAACTAGCCAACTAATTCCAGCAAAAATTTAAATTCCGTTTTAGGACAGGTTAATTTTTGTTGTTGTTAAATTTTAGGACAGGTTAAATGGAAAATATGAACATGGTTTTGTCATTCCTACTTGTAGAAATAATAATGAAATATATTATACCACTGCCACTATCTTCATATCTATCCGCAGACGGCAGATCCTGTACAATAATTTTGAATAAGTATGTGGAAATATTCAATTTTGTTTTAGCATGATATTGAGAAGTTCTTGCTCTTATATATTAAAACACGTATTTGGGGAATTATTAACTATATTATCTACTCGATGGTTTTCTTGAAATAGCCGTCGAGCACTTTTGTGTATAAAAACAACATGATAAAGTCATTTGCAAAAGACGCATACAAGGTATATTCAAACAGAAAAATAGAAATTAGGTTGTGAAAACATAATGTTGATTACTGAAATCGTTCTGTTAAAAGAGCGAGTTGGAATATTGCAGGTAACGAAAGGACTTTCGCTAAAAGTATGAGAAAATATTGGCTGTCGGTGTAAAAATTGGAACGCAAGACTTAGTAAATTACTAATTACATATTTGAAGATTAAATACTAATTACATATTTGAAGATTAAATGGGATATCCTTATTTGTTAGAATTGTTCATTATTTTAAGTAACACGTGGTTGTAAAGTTTGTGTATTAATTATGGTGTTTATTGATTTGCTGGTCATCTAAACAGTTTTTGTTTTTAGCGTTATCAGTTGTGTATTAACTGGTTAGAGGAAATACAATTTTTATCATCTCATGTTGTTTTTAGCGTTATCCAATTCCGTAGAAAAGAAAACCGCCACTAGAAAATTAATGAGATATCATTGAACCATCATTACTATTTAACTGCAAAGCGTACAAACGCAGTATTTCAATCAAAAGCAATTAGGAGTAGTAAGAACTTCAACACCATTATTTGCTATAAGTAATGAATACAATTGTAGATTTACTATGACTAGAGCAACTATCCATTAATTTCTTAATTTTCTAGCTTCGTGTTAGTAAGCAGAAGTTCCACTAGTCGGTTTAATTATACAATTGAGATAATTTTTTTTTTATAAAATTTCCCAACATATATTAGTTGGACTGGATTAAACCGCATAAAACGACAAGCAGTGGTGTCACTAACATAAGAATTAACATTTTAAGAGTAATCACTATGGGTGGTCGGCTATATAAAAATAAGAAACCTACAATAATAATTTGTTTTTTTTTTGTCACCTGTGAAATTACTTTATTCAGTGGTTTTGACGACGTCAAAGAGCAATATGCCAATATATGTTATTTAATTATTTTTATTATAATACTACGAAGTTTTAGTGTGCTCATATTGAGCTACCTAAGCCAAGGTAATCATATTATTAATATAGATATCACATGTCCTGTTGTAAAAAAACAGACATCACATTTCTTATTCGTGTGGAAATTGTCCAAAAAGAGCTAGCGACTTGTTAAAATTCGACTGCCTTTAATAGAACATAAACTTAAGAAAATAAACTTTTCTAATTAACTAAATAAACTAATAACAATATTAATTTTTGAATAACGAGGAGAATAGGTAAACCAGTAAATAAATGATAGTTGACCACAACAAATACAAAATAAAAAATGATAATCTAGAAAAATGTCAACGTAATTACATTTCCAAGATAGCGGGGTCAACTTATAGATACTAGCAAATTACGTGAAGAAAACGACCAACATTTTTGAAAAAAAACAAAGAAAGGGACTAAAATATATTGACGATTCCATGTTAGCGATCTAACCTTCACATTATCTAATTACCATATAAGATATTTAATTTAATATACATGACTAATAGACTTTTCTCAAATGTTAAACAAAAACATCCTGTAACAACAAATTAAATAGAAACTCCAACATAATTGCATCTTCATATATAAACTAGCTACAATGGTCAAAGACCAATTCATGATATAATTGATATACAAACTACAATTCCAAAAGATCAAATTAAAATTCATTAAACATGAAATCTCAACCACATCAGTGAAATGTACACCTTCTAAAAAAACTATAATCCACACAAGCCAACTGATAAGGCACCTAAAACAAACCTCAGAATTTCCCGATTATCGCTTCGATCAGTTGAACTTGCACGTACCAATTACGCGGGAACTAATTGAATTTAACAATGTTTTTTTTCACCGAGGCTTGTTGGGTCATCATCACAGACTCACACAGTCGAAAGCCTAGGCAACGATATGACATTTTCGCGGCCCATTTACAATTTTCAATAATAGAAAAATGCAACCGATTTTTTTTTATTTTTTTTTATTTATTTTTCCTAATCGGAATAATAGGGATACGAAAAAAATGGCGTAGAATAAGAGATGAGTATAGCGATGAACACGAAGCACATCAAGCAGAAGAGAATGATCTACTTGCCGATCTCCAGAAGAAAGGCTATCTTCCATATATATATGCAATGGTCCGTATAGACCCAATAGAAAGATCTGAATAAATCACGGAACATTCATATTCTGAGCTCAATCTCTTGCTTCAGAAAATTCGGAGATCGTTATGGGACTCTATTTTGTGGGATTTTCTGCAGAAATTAGTGTAAGTATCGTAGTCGCATTGCTTTTCGGAGCTCACTTTAGGGTCGTCGTGAATTCGTTTTGGTTTTTTTGAGAGTGAGTGGACTTACTTTGATTTGGTTTCCAAGTGAGCTTGAGTGTCGAATCTGATATGGAGCTTGTGAAACGGATTTGGGACCATGAAAGTGAATAGACTGTATTTCAGTATTCAAAAAGAAAGAATTGTATAAGTACGGAGCACGAAGTCCAGACACAGTAAAGCCAACAACAAAAGGTTTGGTGCTTCTCTTGTGCGCATGCTTCTTTATCCCTCCTTTGTTTCTTTGATATGTTTCTGCAGTTATTATCGGAGATAGTGACTAGCAAAACTAGCAAAACGCCGCCGTATCTTTTCACTTCTGATTGAAAACACTCAATTAATCCAGAATATTTTAGCCTCATACATATACATATTCTAGCATACTGTGAGACTGGTTCACATTTGCATCCGTTAGTATGTAACAATAATCTGCATGTTACTGAACGTGCATCTATAAATACAATTACATAGATGGATCATTATGATTACTATATCAGTTTCTACAAAAGTGGGAACTCCAGCCAATTGTTTTACATACAATCACACTGAAGCTCTGTCTTGCTAATTTATAGTTGGGGAAAACCCTTTACATCACACTAAGGCTTGAAACTTAGACTTAGACCATTCTCGTTTATTTTTTTCTTATTCGACCCAGCGATTGTTATATATCTCTATTTGACTGTGATGCAGTGTTTTTTTATATTTCTCAGCTTTGTTCATACTAATAATTCAGAAACCTCTCTAGAACAGAACATGAAACCTCTGTATTTTCTCTTTGCAGTCAACTACTAGATACTTTTCATTCTTCAGAGACCAACCATGGCAGGGAACATGTTCTGATAATAAGCCGTAAATGTCACTGTCCTCAACAAAAAGCACCATCAGATTCTGATACCAATTAAAGCCACTGAATGGAGTCTGTTTCATCAAGAGGTGAGTACGGAATCATATAGGTGTAGATTGAAAAGCTTAATAGAATCTAAAGTACATTTTTTAAGGCTGAGATACAACTGTCATCGAGTTACTGCCTGATCTTCTGATCAAAAGTTATATCTCATTTGGTTATAACTTACATCTAAAACTGAGCTATCATTTATCAATTTGACAAAAAAATTGGGTCCACCTAGGAACATATATTACTCATATCGACTGGCTTATGTTTGTTCGACAACAGCATCTAGAGATCAGGAAATGTCCCATGAAACAGTCATCACAGCCTCACAGGTTCTTTAGAGGTCCTAGAGGTCAGCTTTTCACTTACTTTATTGCTCTATAGTGACTTTTTTTTTGCCTCTGCCGACCTTTTAACGTTCCTTATCCCCAACAGTTTATGGTGCGTGAAAGCTCTTTTGCTGGCACAAATGATGGCTCGAAGACACATCTGCATTAACCTCCAAGTTCTGACCTTAAATCTAAGCAACGATCAACATCACATTTTCACTTAAAAAGGTAAACTTTTCACTTTATGCCTCACTCTTTCCAGGACTTTAACCTTTCGAAATTGTCGATTGTCAATCAAGGTTGAATATTCAGTGACTAGGAATTGCTTGAATTTGCCTAGCAGGTCTATTTTTGTGTACCAATCTGGAGAAAATTCTGTAAACATATGAAAAAAATAGGATGAAATATTTGTAGTTGTTATGAATACTTAGGAAGTAATATGTGTGATGTTGTATCTACTCCAAGGTATAATAGAGATAAAATTTTGTTGCTCTTTATGAGGTTTAAGAAAGAAACTGTATTATAGAGACTAGAGTGCTTTAGCCGGCAATCGAAAGAACAGAACTGTAACCTTAAAAGTCATTATGTGTCTGCTTCTACCAAGATCTTTAAAACGATTTGAAAAGTTCTGGGGTCTTAATACTTTGTATTTTAGTAAAAGTTAATAAAGTAGTTTTATAATCCATAAACTCATCTATTTAGAATCTAAGTTAGTGATATCTTTTTCATCATTCCCACTATGAGCGAGGGAGGTCACCCCTCAGGATCCACTACCAGCATTGATACAAAAATATGTATAATTTAGTCCATGGAACCTAGTGAGATTAAATATATTCTTATGATAATATCCATTGTAGGCTTATCTTAGTCTCTGTATGCGTAGATGATCTTTTCCACACCAGATATTTTATTTGAATGATATGAGAAATTTTAGCTAATTCGATAAAACACTTGAAGAATACAAGGCGAAATATATGCTTTAATAAAATATGTCAGTGAAGAAAAGGGCCAAGTTGTCCATAAACAAACGTGAAAACTAGAAAAAGCTGTCTATCACTAAAGGAAAAAGGGAAAAAAAAATTATCAATGTGGGTCACATATCAAATCTTAAATCAAGATATTTTCTCTGGGTCCTAGCCACAATCATCTTGGTAAGTTTATGTGTCAGTCACTAATAGATATCAACTAACTTTTCTACTTTTGCTGGTAGTGAAAACTTATTGTTCAAAAAGTACATACATATCATTGTCTATTTCTCCCTAAAATTAACAGGTTTGAGCAATGAAGTTATTGGTTGACTGTTAAAATTTTGTTTGACTTCAGTAGTTCACTAGAAAACCTTTTCTTTTGGATAAAATGTGAAAATTTTACAGGATACTCTTGCTATGTTAAAATTCATATAATCTAGTTTTTTTTAACAAGCATTGGTTGGCTGTCGACTTTTTTCGAATCTTATATAAATAAATTACTGATTTGGGTAGAGAATCTTGTCGTAATCCAAGTGAAGAGACCATAAGTATATCTTCATTTAAGTAATAACCACTTTCCGAAAGTAAATGAGAAGAATAGAAGAAATGAATGCTTATAGAAGATGTACATAGTAGCAAAGTGGCTGTATTCCTGTGGTTTTAGTCTATTGGTTGAAGTACGTGATCGATTTTTACTGACTGCATACACTTTGGGGGGGGGGGGGGGGTTGGGGGGTCTCTACAGATTCTTGATTTTGGTATAGAAACCTATGATTGATGTTTAGCAAGTGTTAATAATCTAATTACCAAAATGAGTCAGCAAATGAAATGATGGGTTATAATTACATAGGTCCCATGTTAGTGAGGAGTGAGACACTTAAACCTAATCCTTAAGCATTATAAAGTTTCTATTCATCTTGTTTAGTGGAACCTCATCACCTGCTTACTCACTTTTATATTAAAAGAGCCATAAGGAATATATACCCTTGTATTTTATTTACATACCCAAAAGGCTCTTTTTTCCACCACTTCCCCTTACTGATGATGTACATAAACATGTGATATGTGTACAGTTTAAATATCTTATGTCATCAAATCTAACCTCTGTTTCTTAGGATATATGTTGAATTTTGCATTTGTAGAATTTAAATCTTTTATCTTATAAAATGAATGTTTATAATTGGTTCCAAGTTGCAATTTGGTATATAAACATGCATTCCAATAGTATATAAGTTACTTTTATTTTACTACAATTAACAATTTAGATGTTTTCTACCATAATAGAATCTTAGTCCAAATCCAAGATGGTTGCACTGTTACCTCCTTTTGGTTAGATATATACATACACAGGATATCTATATATACCTCCTCTTGTGCCTCCAAAACGCCCATCATTTCTCATTTGTTTTTTTTAATCAATTTTTCTTTGTTGGATTTGATTTCATAAAATTTGAAGTTATGGTTGATCCTCAATCACCAATCCCACCTCACCTTTACCCACAAGCAATTCAACTCAAACTCTACCAAGCCTTCATCTTCTCAATTCCCATTTTATTCTCCATCATTCTCTTCCTCTTGTTCTATCTCTTTTACCTTAAGAGAAGAGCCTCTTCTCTCTCCTCACATTCTCCGATGATTCTTCCTGTTTCTTCGACCCACCAGCCTTCTTCTCATCTCCCCTCGGTAAGTGTCCCGATTCTCTGTAGATATACATGCAAAAGTACTGAATCATTTACATCAAGAAATAGTAGAGCTATGGTCTTGTTTTCACCGGATGTGAGGTTACTAAAGATGTGTTTATATGCTATTAACATGGTATCATCATGTTATATAAAGTTGAATGAAGAATAGTGTTGATATTGATTGCGTTTTATTTTGCAGGTTTGTTTGTTAGATGTGAAAGTAGAGCTCAAAGACAAGCTTCATGTCGTTTTGTTTAATGACGAACTAGGAACGAGAGATTCTCTGTAAGTTGCTCTTGCTTCTTTCATAAAAATATTTGTCATTAACTTAGCCTAGAAAAAAGAATCTTCTACTTGGCCAATTTGATCTTAGGATCTGTGAATTTTCTTGAGCTTGGACTCTAATTGTCAACATTCGTCTAGACAATTCTGCTTATCTAAGAATTATCCTCTTGAAAGTTGAAATATACGAATTGAAATGCTCTTTGCTCATAAGTGTTTTGAGGCCGTTGCTTATAGCTAAGGGAATATTAAAAGTTAAGACGGAAAGTTTAAATTCCAGATAAGACCAATACCATGATTTTAGACAACATATACCTTCCGACAACAAAAAAGACAACATATACCTTTACTATCACAGGAGATTTGTCCTCATTCTAAACAGAAAATACCTTATCTCCAAGACTCGAAAACTATAAAAAATCTGCAAGAATTTCATATCCTGATTCAAATAATATTTTTCAAAGTCCTTAAGTTTGATAATATTATTGGTTCTGGTGAATTGAAAATTTGATTGGTTTAATGAAAATTGGTGCAGATGTTGCGTATGTTTGGGAGAATTCGAGTTGAAGGAAGAGTTGGTGGAAATGCCTTCATGTAAACACATATTCCATCTCGATTGTATTCACCTTTGGCTTTATTCTCACACCACTTGCCCTCTCTGTCGCTCCTCTGTCTTCATCTCTTCGACCAAAACCTCTGTGGACGACGACGACCTTTCAGATTCTCCTCAAACTTCACCGGTTTGACTCATTAACCCGAAAGAAATAAGCAAATACAAGTTTTGTTAGTTTTGTTAGTGAGTAGATCAATACAAAAATGTAAATCTTAATTTTGCTCATTCAAGAGATCAAATGTACTTCATCACATTACATATTGGTTACATAGATTACATAGATTCCATTTACATTATTCTCTCTGTCTTCTTCTGCTCAAGCAGATGTATCATTGTTGTAAATGAACCCTAATGAGTGAAGCTACTTGAAGAAGAAGTAACCTGACAAGATCAGACCGAGAGTGAGGATCGCAGCCAAGAAACAAACACTTTTTGATAATTTTCCATCGTCTTTCCTCAACAGCATAGCCTCATAGATAGGCAAGCAATTCACAACCGCAAAAGTTGCTATCATCAACTCAAGAACGAGTCCTTCTCCCCAAGCGAAAAGACCATAAAGCCCCCAGACAAGGGCAAGGAGATTCACGATGGCGACCGTAGTCATGGGCAAGAACATGAATGAGGGACCGAAATCAAAGATCTCTTGCTCATACCTCTTGCTTTGCTCCTCATCATCGTTGGCTTTACTAGTGAGGCTGAATCCATGCGTGGAGAGGTTTAGGGCTTTGAGAGTGAACTCTATGAAGCCAAACAAGAATGAAGTGAATCCTCTTATCATCCACATTCTTTGATCGTTCCACCATCCGCCATAACTTCCTCCTTCAAGTACAAAGTCTAGTAGATCTTGCGCATATGCACCGAGGAACAAGAAGATGTAAAGCCAAAACCATGGATTTGATGACTTGGGGAAGACGCTAACTCCATAGAGGAGGGCAAGTTGGGGCAAGAATGCATAGACAATGAGAGGAATCGACCAAAATGCCCAAAATGCGTATTGACAATAGCCAACACCCATTAACAAGCCCATTGATTTAACTCCATACGTAATCGGGCTATATCTTGAGATGGAAACTTCAAGAAGCCCAATCGCCCATCTTTTTTGTTGGCTGACTACATCAATTAGACTTTTAGGGACATCTCCACAAAATGCTGCTCTTTTGGGACTGCAAAAAATTGATCTCCATCCCTCACAATGGAGACTATATCCTGTGTAGTAATCCTCGACTAAAGATCCGTATCTGAATCCAATCTGCATAGTTTTGAATGACTGATTGGAGTTACATAGTATAACAATCTAGAAAATAAAAATATCACTAATGTTGAAAGATTATTTAGATTTTAGATTGCCTTAAAATATCTATCTTTAGGCTTTCTATATGAAAGATGATATTTTCTATGTTTTCATACCAATCAAGAAATCACACCTCATTTTGAATATTTATGACATCATGTGACTAGAGAAACTTGTAGTTGTTATTATAAATAGTCCATAACAAGGTAATTACTAATTACGAAGGTTGGATTTATCTTACCTTGGATCCCCAGTTGGTGTTGTGCTCGTAAATACATCCTGCTACATTGTGTGCCAGTGCCAAAACATCTGGTGCTTTGATGGAATTATTATTATCCTTATTCCGATTAGGCTTAAGTTCATCCATCTCAAGCAAAATCAGATTAGATGGAGGACCATACAAAGCCCGTCGATTGAAGAAACATCCAGTTCCCACATGATTCGGGCCCATAAGCCCATCAAACCCAACCATATTGATGTCGAAGAGGCGTTTGTACTCGCATGCATAAATATCATTCTTGCTTAATCCTTGAAACTTCTGAGGAAACTGCACAAAACCTAAACTGGACTTGATTTTAGGATCTGTTAAATAGCACAAGGCACGGACCGGTGTGGAAGGATCGTTCGAGTACATGTCGCAGTCTAGTGTTAGAATGATCGGTGAGTTTGTCATCACCGCAGATACTCGCAGCTACATTGAAAATAGTTAAAGAAAAATAATTAAAACGAAATGCTAGTTAACCGAACGTAGAGATTTGTCAAGGTAAGGTTTAAGTGATACCAAGGTATTAAGAGCACCGGCTTTAAAATGATGTGGTGAAACTTTACTCTTCTCTCTTGAAACATACATTAGGTTTGGCATTGTATATTCTTTGGTATCGTCCATATCAGTCTCGCTATTTTGAAGTACCTGCCCTCAAATTGATTAAAAAGTGATATTTTGTTACATAAAGAGTTACAAATGGAAACTAATCCTAAGAATAATTATCTAAGAGGCTTTTTTTGGTATATGGTAGTAAAAAGGGAATTTTTGCAAGTATTTTAAATACCTGAATAATAGTGGGATGGTCATGACGAGTGAACTTATGTGTCCACAATTCGAATACTCCACGAAAATGATCACATGTGATAAACTCAGTCTCAACTTTTCCACTATCAACCACATGTTCAACTCTACTCTTCATATCTTCGTACATCATCTGGACCACCGAACAATAATTACGTGTATAAATTTGTTAGTTGTATATAACTTAATATTTTTTTGTCTCATATATTAAATATATTAATCATACGGATCATATATACGTCATCGAATTGACAATACTTTGTTACGTATATATCCAGTCTCTCCATTTTGTTTTGGTCAGCTTGTTTCTCCATATTTTTGTGGTCAAATCGTCGCTTCATTTCTTTTTTTCTTTCGAAATTTAACTTAAGATTAATTCTTTTGTACACCAAGGAGCTACATAGCTTATTCCATGAAGAAATGCTTATGATGCGCAAGAAATGTTCGACTAAATAAACTCTCGACTACAAAATTTTAAAGAATATATATAAAGAAACTCCTTTAGTTTTGAAAGCTAGTACTTCTACCGTTTAGGTAACTACTATGCGAGTCTTATAATTCGTTTAGGAGAGCTCAAGGATGTTATATTTAAAACAATGAGTAAATCAATTATAGGTGATGTCACAGTCAACCAAGATCTTGGGATGATAAAGAGAGGCAAGAATGGCATTATCGTCAACAAGATACGATAAGGTTATGGAGAGAATTGACCCCTCGGGCTTGATCACAACAAGGACTCTCCATTATTTTACGAATATACTGTAGTACTCTCTCCCTTCATAATAAATATAATTTTAGCATGTAAATTTTATTTTTATAAAAGTATCATTATGTACTTTTTCATGCAGATTTAAATCAAATTTTCTACTTTGAATTCTATTCTCTTAACTTAATTAGTATTACTAAATTAAGATTCTGCAGTATATTTATAAGAGGTGTATAGTATAATAGATGGATTAAAAAATTAAATTCCAAAAAAAAACGACATTTAACATTAAACAAAAAAATTGTCGGCATACTTTTTTTTTTGAGAAAATTAAGGCTTGGCATACTATTTTTTTCTGTTTCCACTCAGTGTATTTTTGTTTGTATTATGAATTCTACTGTTATTTTGTTCAAAAACATGCTATTCCAAACAATCAAAAGGAATTAAAATTTGACTTTGGATGAAAAGATTACTAACTGAAAAAAGAGAAAGAAAATTTATACTTAAGTGTTACGACCATTGGAACGGCCGCGACGGTTTTAATCATTAATTGTTATATTATAGTACGAGAACTAACACTCGTAAGAGTTGTGTTGAGGTCTTGCGCATTTGTCGAAATTAAGATTCAAAAAACATACTAAACCTAACTTATATTTACTAATATATAATTAGTAATTAATAATACGAACCTTAAGATTTTCAGCTTCGTCATCCCAAGAATATGATTTCGAGGAGAAATAAACTTCAGGAGACCGATCTTGAACATTGTTCTTCTTGCAAAAAGGCAACCAGTTCTTAGAGAACTTAGCTGCCTCCATCAAAGCAAACAAAGTCAACGACGATCCTCCATCGTCCGATACGTAGACCGAAAGCTTATCCGACGGATAATCGTAGGCCATCACTGACAAGGCGGTGTTGACCACCATCATCGGAGGCTCCTTGTACGGATCAGCGGTGCATATAAACACGTCCAGCTTCGGAAATTCCTCTTCCGGTTTAGCTGCATATACCTCAGGATACTCGGACCGGTGAACCGGATTAAACCGGAGGGAAGCTGAGGTGGCCCACATGAAAGCGAGAACGACATCGGAGAGGAGAAGAAGAGACGTTATTAGAGTTGTCTTTGCTGTGAGAAGTGAGTTTACGTGAAGGTACATGAGGGCTACGATGCCACACGTGTGAAATATGGCGTAGATTCTGTATAGAATGGTGCGCCGGCACGGATGACACGTGTGGAGGGTTGTGCCGTCGACCGAATGTTTTCTATGAGCCTCCATCGTTTTTTTTTATAAGACAAATAATTTTGGAGAGAATCGGTATGTAGAACAAAAGTCACCACTAATAGATTACTTATATTTATAGGCCAGTTTCTTTGAAGGAAGAGTAGATGTTTTACACGACAATTCTACGATTTTTTAACAATATAATATGCAAATTGATTAATATCATCATATGGATGGTTAGATGAAGATAGGGATTGTGAGAGCCACTGCCTTCACAAATCTCGACGAGAGAGAAGATGAAAGAGTATAGACAATAAATATAGTCTTTACTTCATTATCCAACACCTACCGATATCGTATTATGTACCACTACCTAAATGATTATATATGTAAAACTAAATTTATAGGATTTTTCAAACCGCAAGCCAAACTTGTCTCGCTTGAATTTAGAACCAGCCTTGATCAAGCGCAACACATTTGTGAAAAAATGATTTGTGAATGTTACATTTGAGTCACCTTATTTAAGAAAAGTAATGAGATAATATTGGGATTTACTATATCTAATGAAAACTTGAGATCGTTTATTGGTGTCCAATCAGGTTTATTGGTGTTCTTAATTTTTTGCTCTGAGTATATAATATCTTTTATTTTATCGAGATCAGGCAAGTCAACTTATTGTTATACATGTAATTTGCTCATAGATGACACAGGATTACACATCACAGTGGGAGGAATTGGTGGTGAAAATCTCGGTACACAAAAAAAGATGTCTAAGAACTTTCATTCTTAGATATGTTTTCCAGCTAACCATCTCTGTCATGAGAGCGAAATAGCAGGAGGCATGGGGAAGCTCCAAGAACAGCTAAGCAGATCGCTAAGCATATTGACAAAGTGATGAGAAATCGCTTTAGCTCCATCCATATATTGGGGGACATGGCTTATGAAGAAGGAATGCAGACGTGGCTTGCTGCGCAAGCAACATCATGACTCGAAGCATATGCTTCATTTCGAATGTAAATGTGTTTTTGGTCTTTCAAAATCTGTTTGCAATTACCATTAGCTAGCATCTTCTGATGTAAAAACGATCTTTTTTTTGGGTTGAATCAAATTTAACATTCATTCAAAAAAAAAAAAAAATTTGCTCATAGATGTAATCAAAAATGTAATATAATATTATCATAAACTCCTATTTGCATATCAATGTCCTTTTTTTCTAAAGTCCAACTTACAAATGGTACCCATACATCTGTATTCAAAATCAAAATCTAATAAAAAAAAAAAATCTCCAACAGAAAATGTTATAATTTAACCCAAAAACATGACAAAGTAATATAATCCAATAAATAAAAGAGGTGATAACAAAAAAGCAAGGCCGGACGAAACCTCAGCCATTAATATATCTGCTTCTTTTATACTTTAAATGTACACAAATATGTCTGTCTACTGTGAAAAAAAAAACCTATTTTTGTACTTAAATTGTATAAAGTATGTCTGGAATTTATTCAAGAAATGAAACTTGTTAAAAAAAAAATTAATTCCAGCATTAGATATGTACTATATATTTACCGCTGATCGTCAGTAGCAGTCTAGCCTGGTAGATGGCCATAATGCTTGTGTAAACATAAACAAAAAGCGCGAACCATCAATAAAAAAAAGTAAAAAGAGTGTTCAAATTCTCAGCAAAAAAAGAAAAAAAGGAAACAGAGAAGAAGAATAAATTGATGATAATCATACCTTGTATAATGCTCAAGAACGCTGTAGGATCGATGCTCCAAACTAGATACTAGTTAACCCATGGGAAAATCGTAAATGGTTAATGGAAGTTCTAAGAGATAGATACAGTTGAGTGAGTAGCAAAATAAAGAAAGAGAACCTTAGATGAGCAAGAGAAGAACCTTTGGTGAGTGATGATATGTTCATATGATGTGTGTATATATCATATATGTCTGACTATATTATTTATTTCCACACGAAAACAAATGGCATCCATATATTTACTTTTATACTTAAAATGTACAAAGTATGTCTTTGTCTACAAAGAAAAAACAGAACCTATTTAAAAATCTAATATAACTGTCAACGTAATTAAATGCTCTTTAAGTAAATTATCTCAAGTCGAAACACTTATTTATTTGTTTTTCTTCACTGCAATTAAACCATCATAATATTAACTGTATGAATGTATTAAATAATCTGTAAATATTCACAAAGAAATTCAATTGTACATTGTAAATTCGCAAGAAAATGGAAAATGAGCATTTAGATAATCGATGCGGTTAGATTGGTTTTTGGATTGTTCAAAAATGTAACTTGAGGAATGATATTCTTTGTTTGGTTCATACATCTCTTGGTTCGGTATCTAGTTCTTATATATTGGGTTTTTAATTCTTATTATATTTTATATTTGGCAAATATTTTTTTATACATATAGTTGGCAAACATTAGAGAAAAGTAATAACAAAACAAAATTTCCAACAGAAAATGTTATAAATTAATCCAAAAAAACATGACAAAGTAACAGAATCAAAGAAATAAAAGATCGGTGAAAAAAAAGCCGGACGAGACCTCAGCGAAGTATTTAAATGCCGGACAAATTAATATATCTTATTTTATACTTTAAATGTACACAAGTATGTCTGTCTACTGTGATTAAAAAAAAACCCTATTTTTATCAATGTAGATAATATAGCTGTTAATGTAGTTAATGTTTTTACAGTAGATTTATGTGATTTATCGAAAACACTTTTCTTTTAACACTAAAGTTGTTCTAATTTGATTTAATTCGAAAAAAATATATTGTCTTTAAAAAAAAAAAAAAAAACATCAACCTTCAAACACTCTTTCACCACAAAAGAGACTCTAAAAAACCGTGTCATTTTGTAATCCTCCTTCAAACACTCTTTGTCCACAAGAGGCTCCAAAAAACCGAGTCATTTTGTAATCTTCCTTCAAAACACTCTTTGTCCACAAGAGGCTCCAAAAAAACCGAGTCATTTTGTAATCTTCCTTCAAACACTCTTTCTCCACAAGAGGCTCCAAAAAATCGAGTCTTTTGTAATCTTCCTTCAAACACTCTTTTTCCACAAGAGATTCCAAAAAATCGAGTCATTTTGTAATCCTCTCTTTTATTGTGATGGAAGGTTATTCTGGATAAGCCTTCTTCTCTCTTTCTCTTTTATGTTTTTAGACAATGAATGTTTGTATGATTTTTAGTTTTTGGTTTATAAAAGTGGGATGTTTCCTCTCTTGATATATCATATATGTACACTGACAGTAACATGAAAAATAACAAAATCAAATAAATTTAAAAAAAAAATAAGAAAAACACACAAGTTATCCTTTTTCCCAGTTATTCACATTCTTATTTTTTCCTTTTCTGTTCGTTACATCTTCGTATCTCTTACACACACAAGTTTCTGATAATAAGAAAAACAATAAAAACTTACAGAAGCCTACCTTGAAAATAAAAAACTCTACCCATAAACCCTCTTTCTCCACAAGATGCTCCTAAAAAACGAGCCATTTTTCTATACCTTATACTTTTCTTGTGACAAGGTTTAAGCCATTTTCGTTCTTCCCTCACAGAAACAGAACAAGACAACTTCCAAAAGACAAGGCAGATAATAAGGAGACAGAGAGTGTAGAGAAGAAAGGGAAATTAGTCGGAGTGGTTATCTGTTTTGGAGGCTGTTTCAACTTCTGTTAACAGCATCCGGAGTTGGTTCCCTGGCGTCATTTTCTTCACTTCCTCTTTTGACCATATGAATATTCTCTTCACCATGTTGCAGAACTCACTGCAACCACAAAATTTAAAGCAAATTTGATTTCCTTATCAACAGTTATGAGTTTTGTGTAGTGTTTCTATTGAATTCGAGAAAGAGAGAGAGAGTTACTTACGGCCACGGATCATCACCCACAAGCATCATATCTCCCTCATCGTCTGTGAACACTATTTCCCATTGACTCCGACTCCGCAGTTCGTCTTTTATGTCAAACAGCTTCTCAAGGTCGTCTATAAGCTCACTGTACCCACTTAGCACAGTTAAATCCACAGCCCTGCCCACGGGTACACCTTGCATTTGCACCTGCTCAAATATATACCTAGATCATGTAAAATGAGACGTATGTGCTTATATGTGCATTACAAGTGTTTATTACATACCTTGGTACGGCTTCTTGTAGAACTGCTTTGCTTGCTTTGTACCTCTTTTGGTGATGCCTGCGCAGGTTCTTGCTTTTTCTCTTCTGATACTTTTGAAATCTCGGATTTTGGGTCGGAGTTGCTCTCCGGAGTCGGTTTGGTTATGTTGATTGGTCGCATGGCTGCAGTTTTCTCCTCAGAGGCCGCTATTGAGGAACTCATCAGATCAATTCCAAATAATCTATAACTAGCTGTTGTCTCGGGTTTCTTCTGCTTGACTGGGAATACCATTTGGTCATTCAGCGTTGAGTCTTTTGACACGTTGGAGACCGAGTAAGGGCTAATTGGCCAATCAGGATTCTTGGCATCCTCAATTGCATCACGATAATATTGCTTAGGGGAATTTCTCTGCGACGTGATGCAAGATTGTGCAAACTCATGAGATTGCGTCAATGCAGAACTCCAAAGGTTTGAAGCTGTTATACCTACATCTAAATAAATAGTGTGTGAGTGAGATATATAGCAAGGAAACTTGAGCTGCGTACTAGCAAGGAAAACTGACGATTAGATTGTGCCTCACCAAGTGCAGATACTTCACTGACTTGACGGGGCCTTTTGTTCTTTAGCACAACTGACTGCGGAACATTTTCTGAAGTTACAAACGGCTCGATTTCCCATGGTGACACTTTATCGGGTCTTGAAATCGATGCAGGCTCATCCCAGTGAACCTACGCAAAGTTGTAGCAGACTGATTGAGTTTTTACACTTTAGAAATTATTTAAGAAGCCTGTATTTTAAGTGGAAGGAATTTTACTTCTAGGCATCGCCATTTTGAGTCTTTCCAGTGAGGAGAGCAGTCTTTACCGCCAACAACCGTGCCAGAAAAACTTTGTAAAGAAACAGATGTGTTTAGAAAACAGGTTTGTGGACAAAGAATTTGCAAGGTACATAAGAAATGAAAAATTCAGACTACCTTCTTTCAGGGGAATCCTCTCCCTCAAACCTCATCTTAAATCTCATCCCTACAGAGAACTTATTGGTCATGGCTTCCAGATATTTGTTCAAGCTGATGATGAATTGGCTTGTCCTGCTCAAACCGAGACTAAATCGATAAGCAGAGTGTCGAAGAAATTCATCCCAGATATTCCAGTAGAGTAAGAACTATATACCTTGGCTTATAGTAAACGGTGAACATAGTACGGGTTTGAGTAGCATGGCATGCGGTGGCAAGCACTCCAAGATGCATGCTATGACTTGATATGACGGATGAAGGCATACTGCTCTGTTGACGATTAGCACGTCTGACTCCAACACGCAACTCTCCGTTCTCACCTCTGGAGAAGATAATATAGTTTGGAAAATTGAAGTTCAAAATCTACATTTGGAAAATCAAAAGAAACAAAGCAAAGTAGCAGCGTCAAGTATACCTCAGGAATACAAAGGTGTCCCCAGCAACCAATCTCTTTGATGTAACAAAGGTGCTCCACCCTGTCGTCAAAAGATGCCTCCGTGGTTGGCCTGTTTAATAGGTTTCAGGTAAAACAATATCAGTATTCACAAACCTAGTTTTGGCACATGAGCATATCTTGTGGATATGGCCCAGAGGAAATCTTATCGTTTCATTTCAATTCATAGACACGTGAAGTTAATCTGAGTTCACAGGAAAGGGATCCATCACCTCTAAAAATATGCTTGAATTTCCACTGATAACCGTGCACATCTTCGGCTACTAACTCCTGGGTCGGGGTTTGCTGGGTCATATCCTGAAGGTTGACAACATATGAGATTCATATTGAAGGCTATAATCCAAGTCAAATGTGAAGCCATTTGGTAGGAAACTAAGCACAAAGTTTCAGGGTGTCCTAATACCAGCGGAGGAAGGCATTCCGTCGCATGTTTCCTTAGAACAGAAAATCCACCATGCGTGCTTGTATCAGACGCTGTCAAAACCTTGCTGAAAGAGTGAACTTTTGGCCTCTGCGTCTCGGGAGGAGAAGGATCAGGACTCATAGGTTCATCAACTTGCTGCAGTTTATAAATTCGAAAAACAATTAGCGATCACACTCGTTGGATGTGAGAAAGTTGCAACAAAAATAGAAATCAACTGAATTGTCACTCACTGTTCCTTCAGGGATCAAAGTAATCTGGGCATATACTTCATCCGTATCTTTCTCCGCCTGAGAACAAAACAAGTGATAAGCTTGTGCTGATCAACCATCAAACTTTCATTTATAACAAATTATTCTATGAAGGAAGTCAAACAAGATTCCCAAACTTCAACGTAGTCGCTAGTGATAGGCCTAATCATCATTCTAGCTTGTAAAGTTAAGCAGAATCCATCTATTACTGCTAACTAATGATCATTTCCTAGAAGAAGAAGAAGAACACACCATCAGGTCAATTCCCTCTTGCTATACAACCCAAAATGGCCCCAACATAGTCCATAGATGACTAATCAATTTGTACTATAACTTGGTCCATGAATCAGCATCAAGAGAGAATCGGGAAGAAGATGGACAATCAAAACTACATACCTGAAGACGGACGTTCATAACTCTGCAGAGAATCTTTGGAGGAAGATTGAAAAGCGGCTTCATCGTATTCAAGTCCTGTTGCGTTGACGCTTCGAGCTGACAAATCAAAAAATGCCACCAAAATTAGAAACAAAAACTTTTCACGAAAAATCCGAAGAAAATCAAAAAGTTAAAATGGAGCTTACTTGTTCCATGTGACCTTGAGGGAAGTAATACACTCTTTCCTCAGCTTGAGGAACATTAACCAGAGGTCCTGCGCATAATTTCCATAGCTCATCGTACAAATGTTCTCCGCCTCCATCACCTGTTTAGCGCCAAAATTCTCAGAAATGTCGCCGGAGAAAATCCAAAGAACAAACGAAAAAAAAAAGGAAGCTAAGGCCGAATTCACACTTCCACCTACAAAAACATACCTCCGCGATTCGCCATAAGCTCCAGCTTGTAACCAGCAGCTCGCCGCAAAGTCAAAAATCCAAAAATCCAAAGCTGATTAAAACTTCTCTCAATCACCAAACACACAAACACTTTACTCTTCAGTCTTCTCTCTCTCCGATTCAAAGAAGAAGCTGAAAAACAGTCCAAATTATAGTGCCCCTAAATGCGAATTTAATTGCAGAAAGCCACGAGCCTTGGATTCCGTTCTCCACGTTTTCTCTCTCTCTCTCTGTGTCTTCTCTTTTTGCATGTAACGATCGCGAGATCTGAGAGTCGTAACGCAAAGAAAGCACCAATCCTGCTGCTCTTGTAACTGTTGTAATCTCTCTCTCTCTCTCCCGCAAAACCGGTGGTATCGCCTCCCTCCAACAACAACTTGTCTCTCTTCGTGACTATCGTCAAACAACGCCGTTACAAAAAAAAAAAAAAAAAAGAATCTCACTCGCTCGAAAAACCCCGTTTATGTTTTACGCCACACACCTTCGTTTGCTTTTTATCTCCGTTTCCCTCTCTCTCTACCTTAAAAACCAATTCTTATTTTAATTTTCCCATTTCATTTCATGTCTACAAATTTGGACTCTTTTTCGGTAGAAGACAAATAATTATATTTATTATCTATTAGCCAATTGTAAATTTGTTTATTTTGTTATTTTTATTAGTGTTTGAGAAAGTGATAGATGCTATATGGGACGGGGACTTTCCGTCCAGCGTTTAAAGAGTCTAGTCTAATTTTTGTATATAAATAAATTTATTTATTTTACAAGAAGAATGTATATAGATGAACAATTAGACAACAGAAAAATGTATTTGAATAATCTAGTAATTTTATAGTTTTAGTGTTTTACTAATTACCGGATAAACTCATAATTGTGATGGTCTTTAAGGCTAGCACGGAGCGTGACGGCGCGTGCCGTGCCGTTACGGTAACGAAAGTTGATGAGGGGAGGATTAAACATCCGTTATCGTTAAGATTCCGTCACTTTCACCGTCTGCTCCAACGCAGGCAACAGGATTGGCTTAGAGTTGGAAAGCAGAATCAGGCTTGACCTCGTGTTGTGGATTAATTACGTTTCTGCCACTCTAAGGTGGGACAACATATAAGCATGTGGGAAGTGTTGGATCTCTCTGATTTTTATTTATTTATTTATTTAACGGTTTCAATTTCACCAATTACCCGGCACTGGTAAGCGTCGGACGCTGGTTAACTCAGACAGTTTTCACCTTGCATGATTTTTCGTCCAACCATCCAAATTTAGCTTTTTTGTAATTTTAGAAATTTTAGTTGAGCCATGATAGATTAGTAAATGTTGCCAAAACATATTATAAGTTTAGAACTACAAAATATTTTTAGATAAGAAATTTATATGTAGTATATAAGATACTTATTAAGGAATTTTTTTAATCAAGAATATGTATATCAGTATATTTAAGACTTTTTGACATTTACATATAACTTTTAAATATTTGTATTCATCCGTATTATCGAAATCTTAGTTTTGTGGTCAAATTCTTGTCGCTATGTATTTCTACTGTAATCATGACAACACTTATACAAGTGTTGTTTTATATTTCTATATTTTTTGAAAAACTATTATATCTAAACGGTTTTCCATTTATACTGAAAGAAAATGATATAATGTGGTTATAAATTGATGACGTTCAAAAATCAAGTGGAATCTACTCTTCCGAGAACTATATATGTCGATATAGATGATCTACGGTGCCCTAATCTATTATTTCGAAAAAAAAAATCTATTATTTCGTAATGGAACACGAATTTTTTTATTATCATTTTGAATGTTTTAGACTTGAAAACCCGTATGTTTTTTTTTTTTAGATTGGGACGAGCAGTTCAAACCCTCATAAAACTAAAAGAATTCTGAAAAGCACGACTTCTCACCTATTCGAAAGAGCTGTATTTACGCTATTGAATCAATCGCTACTTAATTGTGAATCAATAGGAGATATAAGAAAAATCAACCGATTATGATCCCTAATAGATTTTATACTAACCAGTTTTTTCTCTGGATTAACTGATTGTTTCGGTGTGTTATATTATAACTTGTAAATATTTACTTCAATACAGTATTTGGCAAATAGCTTTATCTCCTAAACATTTGCACCATTTCTTGTATTTTATTGCATGTATTTTCGTCTAATATAACTAAGTGCTCTTTAGACAATCAATAAATTATAAATTTGCGACAAAAACGAATATATGCTGTAGTCATTCATTTGGCAATGAATAATGCCAAACTATATAAAAAGTGGCAAAATAGAAAGATGAAAAGTCTATACTTCATAGTCCTTTTTATTCACCAATAAGTTCAGAATTGCTTTATTGTTTAGTTCTGTTTTTATCATGTTTAAAATATAACTAAATATGGCAGAAAACGTCACCTATGACGTAAGTTTTGACAACTTCTGCTCCCTTTAAGGATATAAATAAGCAAGATGCCTTAAAACCCACCACCACCATCTCCGGATTTTCTATTCCAGTATTCCTCATTTTAGACTATATATCTTATTCTATATTTTAATAATAATTTGGTATCTTGTCCCCGTATATTCTTATAACTTGTTCAAACGAATCTCAAAATTCGTAAGCTAATCTGCTAATGTAACAATTTCTTTATAGATTTCCGCCGGTCCCCTAACAAATCATATATCTCCCACATGTTTGGTCTCAAATGAGCTCAATCCATTTACTTAGTCTTAGTCAATTTAGTAGAGTATAATGATTCATATAAGGTGAATTCCATTATGAATTAATCTATTTCTACATTTCCTTTAGATTTTACATAGTTACTCTATAGTACAGGGCATGCCACTTATTCAAAGCGTTGACGATTTCACTTGATCATCTTTTTCTTACAGAATTTTTATCAAACATCTTCTCTATTTTTGATTTCGGAGAAAATGAGAAGTATTTATCATTGTGCGTGTATTAATTCTGCAAAACCATTAGCATTGACTTGGTGATTCATCAGCTAACAAGAAGTGAATTTCTTGAAGAACAAGTCAATGAATCTTCTAAGAAAAAAAAAAGACTTCCTACCTCTTTGATGGCATATTCCCTACTTTCATCTCTAAAAACTAAATACGTAGCAGAAAACTACTCATGTTTGGTCACAGAGAGCTGGGAGCATGGAATACGTTCAATGAATCTTCTCCATCTTTATATACGTATACGAAACCGGAGACCACATTTTCGGATTTGGAGAACTTCATATTTCATGGCTGAGAGATCACAAGGATGTGCTTCCAAATTTGGGAATTCTAATGTTACGATCCTTTTGTTTATATGGTGTTCAGGTGTCGTTATGTGATTTCTCATCTTTAGTACCTAAATTTCTCTAACATAACGTATATGTTTCTATATTAATTCTCAAGTATATTATTTCACACAATTTTTGACCGAGCTTAGCCACGATCGCAATTTTATACCATCACACACACAAAAACTTGAAAATCTTTTTATAATTAGAAATTTTACAAATTAATTATATATGCCCTTCAAGAGGCTACGCAAAAGGAATGATAGTAGGCTTCGTACGTACATATACACATAAAAACCAAAGAGGATGATAGTGGGAACGATAATTTAGCTTTTATAAATATAATCCCAAATCAAATTGAAATTCTATTATAAATCATAAAATGGTACAAAAGGTAAAAAAAATTGCCAATCAAAGTAAGGATTTGTGTGAATGATTGTCTTTACACTAGTCATTATTGCGCCACAATGGTTTGAAATAGAATTTTGTATAAGTAGCTTTATTGCTTGACACCTGTCATTTTACATAATGGACAGTGCTTTATACTCGTGTGTGTGTTTTCTTTAATCTATGTTATATAATCAAAGTGTCCCTTAGCCCCCTCTTAAGAGTCAAGGGTCACATTAGGGATTATTAAATGATTAAAGTGTTACTTAATTTTGATATCGATAATGTAGTTGAACAAGTAATCTTGCTGTAACATGCTTACTAATTCTAAGATGCGTATATAAAACCGGAATATAAGATATAAACAATAACTAATTTAAGTTTTAATACGTGTGAACAACAACACTCTAACGATAGGTAGATTTATATAGTAAAATGAAATGTTCTGAAAGACAAGATTATATTCATTGATTACATAGTTTTCCTGCGCACGTTAACTGTATATGGAAACGAATTTTGAATTAAGATTTTAAAACTTAAAACATAAATGCTATGGATAAAATCATAAAATCGAAAGAAAAGAGAGAAATAGCAAAAGATACATAGTAGTAGTACTATGATTGGCTGGACATAGATAGAGTTTGCGCACCCATGTGGAGACCAACTATTTGAATGTTTTCATGGCCTATTTATATATACACATTTCATTTCTTAACGACGGAATTATTATTAATTTATTCTATAAACTACCGTACACTTTCATTTAGACCAGTTGAATAACTACCATGAGATGGATAACATATATTAAATGAAATGATCACCATTAAATTATTATATAATATGGAAATTAACCTTCTTTAAGATTTATTTTTCAGTAATAGCAAAATTTAAACTTAAAAATGGTCAATTTTCAATTTTATTTAATATTACCACTTTGAGGTTTTTTCTTGCTAACTCATGCATTTATCAAACTTGGAACATATATAATCTCGAAAATACTAGGAATAGAAGAAGCATATTCGTTTGGATTCCATGTGAAGGCATTTTCCCAAGCGAATATGTTATTTATTAGTTTTAAAAAACAATTCGAATTTGAGAAGGACACTTCTTCTTTTTTGTTTAATAGCCTAATAATATAACTTTTATCTAAGAAAATCAATAAAAATAGATTATAAATAGATTGGAAAAGGGGAGGACCACCTATTTTATATTGATTTAAGCAGCCGGATAAATAAATTTATACAGGTAAATGTTATTGGTCTTTCTTTGGTTAACAAATAATAAGATTTTTTATTGGTCGTTGATGATCTTATTATTATATTCAGTAAACTAATAATTACATTGATTATTGGACGGGCGACAATACAAAACTTCCGGGTTCTGTGGGATCTTTGTTCCTCACGTTTCCCCCCAAATGATGTTGACTCTATTTGACTTACTCTGTGAGATTCCCCTAGCCGTAGGATCTTTAAGTAGTCTTTTCAGCCCGTCAGATTCGGAGGTCCAATTCTTGGAATCCCATCGTTCTGGATCTGTTGCAATTACGGAAATGCCATTGTACGAGTCAATATAATTTTATTGATTTTAACTATTTTTAAATGAATGGTTAGTATTTGCCATTTGGATCTTAAATCTCCTTAACATACAACTGAAAAGAAAAACACGATTTATAATGGTTCATCTTCAATATGAAAATTACAATAACTTTTGTCGATTGTATCTTATTTGGAAATCTTATAGTTTTTTTCATTTTACATAATGAAAATAGCGACAAAAGTTAAATAAGAATTAAATACATGCATGAAATGAAATTGAATTATGAGATTCGCCTAAACAATATTGCACATGATGCAACAAACTTCGCATAAACTAAATCACATACAGATTTATTCATATTTTTATAATCATTTGTCATTAAATTGAAGACATATTTATCACTAAATACATGCTAATTAGTTTAAGCTCTATTAACACTGAATTTTTTTATTTTGTAACTAAAAGGTTCAAATTTGGATACAGATTGTGGTGAAGAAGAAAAATGAGAGATAAATAATAATAATAAATGGAAAAAATGATTGGAATTAGGCAGAAATAGAAATTTACACTAAATAGTAGAGTTTTAGAGAAATAAAATTTATCAACTATATTTATCATATAATAAAAAGGGTCCATAGCTCAGTGGTAGAGCATTTGACTGCAGATCAAGAGGTCACCGGTTCGAACCCGGTTGGGCCCTAATATAACTTTTTACTTTCTTTTTGATAAATGTATAATTGCACTCTCATTGATTCCCATTTTGAAAGTAAAAACAAAAGGGACATACACAATGGAAAGATAAATTCTCAAATTACCATTAAAAATTTAAATATTAATTAATATCACAAATCTATCATATAATAACACATAATTTTAAAAAACACTAAAAATAAGTAATATTAGATGTTTCTTACTACACTTAATCTAATTTAAGATAATTAATCTTATGTCACATAATGTATAATTTGTCAATTTGTGTCATACGAAACTCAACCAACTTTTTAGTTGATTCTTCCCCTTCAAAATGATACTGTAGTGACGGGCTATGGCTGGTCGTCTTGATATTTTCGTTGATGTTAGGTGATGGTGTTGGTTATTTCTTGGCAAGATTTAGTCATTGAAGCTTTATGATTAAGTTGGCGTTATGACTTAGTTTGTAATATTATTTTGGTTTGCTATGGTTGTTTTATATTTATTCGAATATTAGACTAATTACTGATATTATTTATATTCTACTGTTTTGTATGGATTTCAGTCAAGCTAGCGAACACAGACGGTCGATTGAATAACTTTCTTTTTCGGTTTATTTGGTTTGAAGCATGGGGTAACATAACTTGGATAAATCCTCGATTATACTACAATTTTACATCTTAGGAATTAGGATGATTGATTCTGGCCGAGAAACCCTTTATTCAGCAATTTATGTCAGATGTTTTTTTTTTATTAGGTTGATGAATACATGGTTAAACTCTGAATTCTAAGAAAATCAGGTTTTCGCTAATCTTTTTTTGGCAGATTTTCCAATTATGTATCAATGAAAATTCCTTTCTATTCCTAATCCTAGGACTACAAAACTTGAATAGCAAGGCAGTGTTAAAAGAAACCCTAAGCCTAGCTCCTACACTAACTAAGTTAGCAAAGTAATGAAAATCACGAGGCTGCTGCTTAGCAGTATCATGATCCAACCGCTATCTGGCCACAGCGATCTCACTTGATCCGTAAAAGACATCCCCAGAAACGCCCAGAGTCGCGTTGAGAGCAACCGAATCGTTGCTAAGATCACGAAAAAGAGACTTATCAACAGAACTCCAAGCTCTTTGCTCTCTAAATTTGCTTGCTCTCTCTCAATCTTCTCTACATCCAATCTGATTCCAAGAAACAAGAAGACAAATATTGTCAACTAAAGAAAAACTTTCAAGTCATTCGATAGCTTTGTGCTGTACGTGGGTTTTGAATCTCCTGACCTCAATGCATTGTTTCCTCTGGCCAAAGATTCTACACGGGAAACTACCAGAGTTTTCCATTGCTCTAAGTCTCTAAGTTCCTTTTCCTGCTCAAAGAGTATCGAATTCTCATTAGTCGTTTACATTTCAACAGATAAAGACTTAGACCATATGAGATGAAAGAAATGGGACTGCAAAAGAGTAAGAGAGAAAGATTTACCATTTTCCCATTCCATTCTGTGATCTCTCTGATTTCAGCTTTGCTTTTCTCCACAAGCATAAGGGTTCTCTTCATCTCCAAGCTAACCTCTGGTTGCTTCTCGTTTATTTCTTTTACAGAGTCCTCAAGAACTGATAAATTCATCTCAATCAATTTCACTTTCTGCATCAACAACTTCAAAATGTTATGCTTTTCCCTAACTTCATATTTCTTGTCTCCAATGATATTAATCGTCTTCACAACATCATCTTTCTTCTTCTGAACTTCAGTTTCCTTTCCAATCTGATCTGTCCTATTGTTTTTGATTTCCCCATCTTGTTTTTCATCTGCGGTTTTTACTTCATGATTTAGTTCCAGCATAGCTGGTTTACTGGGAAGAGTCTCTGATCCAACAAACAGATCTTCAAGCATTTGCTCAAGAGCATCAATGCCAAAGACCTCCACAACACTCAGAGTACAGTAAAACTCAGAGCCGTAGTGACTAATTAAGTTGAGTTTAAGATATCTCAACCATTTAGGTTCAGGGAGCCGGAATGTCTGGATCTGTTTAACATTTGCAGCAACAAAACTCCCAGCGGGAGACCACAGCTCGGTTGGGTAACTCAGACTCCCTGACAAGCTAAACTCTTTGAGATTCGAAGAGTAATGCTCAAAATTTGCAATTCTCACCGTGTCAACCAGCGTCTCTTCCGCGAGTTCAATCACGACATACTTATTTGACACTGAACACGGGTTTCTCAGATACTTATCGTGATCTTTGCCAAGCACATTGCTAGCTCCTTTTGCTTCCTTGTTGTGGTCCACTACTTTTGCGCCCTTCATGGCAGAAGCGTAGTTATACCCAGTTCCATCTGGTTCTAACCTATAATGGGTCATATTCACACGCTGTGTTGGCACGCCAGAGCCATTTACTGTGAGGCTTTTGTCTTCTAGGGTCTTGTGCGTTTTTCTTCCTTCTTGTAGCACAACTTTGCAGATCAACAAAGCGTTGTTCCCAAGAACATGCTCATACACATCTTTTAACTGTCCGTTTCTCAGAAGACAATAGTTGTCTTCTTTCCCAGTTGCCGGAGAGACAGAATCACCAGAACTCGTCGAATTTAGGTCCTTCGTGAGTGATCCATCAGTGTAGTTCCCAATTCTATCTACATAAGAAATAGGTCTTCAGAGATTTGAATGAAAAGGGATCACAATGCCCAAGTTTCCCAGATTTTTTTTTAAAGTTCGTTTTCCATCTTTCCTATTCCCATTCCATTTTCTAAATAAGAAGGCTCAAATTCAATGATAAACTCATAGATAGATTAAACTTTCCTAAATTAGCATCTGAAGATGATTATGGCATCCACCGACACATTTGATGATATTACGAATGAAACAACCCAACAAGGTTAGAAAATTAAGGGAAAAACATTTACCTCCATGATTATGGCTATGGCCAAGCTTGGAGTATACCAGAAAGAGGAAACACCAGAGTAAGAGAACGAGAGAGATAGAACGCTGGAAGAAGCTGCCGTTTCTCGAATTACTATCAGCCTTTACAGGGATTCTGACAATCCGAAACCGTAAATCCTTGTTTTGCCTACGAAAATTGTCATTCAGGCATATCGTCGAACAGCTTCCGCGCCTCCTCATCTCTAAGCAGAGCAGAGCAAAGATCTTGACACGTGGTTGTATGACTTGTCTGGAGAAACGGAGAAGAGGGCACGAGGAAGAAGAAACAAGACGACGAGGACGAACAAGGAAAGAAAGAGAGAGAGAGAGAGAGAGAGAGAGAGAGAGAGAGAGAGAGAGAGAGAGAGAGAGAGAGAGAGAGAGAGAGAGAGAGAGCATGCATTGGTGTGTTGCTGTGTTGTGTGGTTCGCAAGAGGAACCTTACATTTGGCCGTCGAGAAACCGATTTCTTCGGAATTTTAACATTTTTACTTTCTTTTTCTAATTCCTTAAAATGTAGTAATTAAATTTCATAATCTTGATTGTTACAATTAAGTTCTATCTTCGTTGTAGCTTTTAACAGCTACTTATGATCCAATTCTATTGTTAGAAAAGTCAGAAAACTCTTTGCGCGAGGTTTTTTTTTTGTTTTGTTTTATTACTAAAAAAGCAGTCCGAAACTTCAGAGATTGAGACAAAAGTTACAATGCCGGCCAAAGAATAGTGATTTTGGAATGTCACCGGAATCATGCCGGAGCTTTGACGTCGGTAGAGTGGTTAAGGAGGACAAGATCGCCGGAATCACGCCGGAGATGCTCAGGGACAAAAGGAAGACTTCCAGGATTCTGCTCTTGTAAGAGAGAATTTAACGGAGTCTGAGGAGGGTAATGGTCAAGTATGTAATCTATTGCTTCTCCACTAATCTCTTTCTGGTTCAACAGAACCTACACACAATAAGGGAAAACAAAATTATGAACAAACAACGAAAAGCTCGCAACTGCGGTTAAAACGTCCGAGATTACCTTAACCGTTTTAAGGAGAGCGGTTTGGTTTTGCGTGAGGAGAGAAACAGTTTTGTTATACATCTGGCTAACGAGTTCTTCACTTCTCTGTGCAACTTCATCATCCATGTTGAAGTTAACCGGTGGTTCGACGAGGTCATAGTCGTCATAGAGAGATCCTTCGAAGTCTAAGCGTGGTCCCACAAACTGAGCCCTCTTTCTCCATGGTGGTGGTTCGCCATGTATCACCATTGGATTCTCCAAGTTCCATCTAAACCCCAAACTATAATTCTTGAGCAAGAAGAAGCTTTTCTTACTTCAAAAAAGGGAATGTTAAACTGTGCAAAATTGGGCTCACATTGTTAAGATTTTGCGAGCTAGCCATGAGGCGTCGGATAAATAATCGACTGATGCCTTTGAAGTATCTGAGCCGTAGATTACTTCTTCTGCAGCTCTTCCCCCGAGCAAGACCTGCAACAATCAGAATTTTTTTAACAGGGAAAAAGGAAGCATCTCAATCAGAGAACCATAAAAAACAAACCGAATCAAACAAGTGAAAGAAGAGATTTTAACAGAGAGAAAAAAAAACTACCTGGAGACGATGAAGTAGTTGAGGACGACGACCAAACATGTAGGATTCATCATCAAGCCGATGAAACACAACTTGAGACAGTGTCTGACCGCGAGGGATGATGGAAATGCGATCGCACCGCTCAATCTTTGCATTCTCATACCGCATTAAAAGATGTGAAGTGATTGCTACTCCGACTTCAGTTGTGGCTCTACGACACTGGCCTTGATGTCCCAATTCCAAACCGATACGTGTCGGACCAACAGTGAGTCGGTCAACAGCGTCATCCATGTCTGATTGAAGAATCGAGCTGTGTGTTTTCCTGACTGCTACAAGAGCAGCCTCTTGAACCAACTGCGCCAGTTTTGCTCCAGACCATCCTGTATTTGATATAAACGAAACTATGAGCAAAAAAACCAAAGTTTTATACAAACCAATACATTTAAACAAACCAGTGTTCTGTGGTAAAAAAGACAAACTATGAGAGAAAAAAAGTATTTAAATCATCAATATGTAGATTTTATACCTGGCAAGTTACTTGCATACGATGACAAGTCAACAGAATCCGACATCTTAACTTTGCTTGCATGAATCTTCAGAATATCCAATCTCCCTTTCGCATTAGGGGGACGAATTCTTATCTGATAAGAAGATTATTTTTTTATAGTCATTCAGAAACTCAGAGTCTACTACACTAATGCAAGATAAAATTAAAGGCTTGTGACTATGGTTTGGTATATCATTGAGATTCAGAATGACTGCTACCAATTACTAGGTACAGAAGGATTTTCTTAATCAACAAACCTTTCGATCAAATCGACCTGGACGTAAAAGAGCAGGGTCTAACAAATCTCTGCGATTGGTGGCACCCAAGAAAATGACACCTTTGCCGGTGTCAAAACCATCAAGCTCAATGAGTAGCTGGTTCAATGTGGTTTCTCTTTCTTGAGTGGCTGCATTGTACGACTGGTCTGAGTTTTCCTTGAAAATCCCTTGACGTCTAACGAATACCAAAATTTAAAAACACATATCAGTTAAACTCCGTCTCAAGTTGAAAAATTACGCAGGGAAAGGCAGTAACTATTATCAAAATATAGATAGAAGGGAAAAAAATAGTGCATACCGAGTTGCCAAGGCATCGATTTCATCGATGAAAATAACAGATGGCTTGTTTACCTGCACAAGGACATGAATATCATCAAATACTATAGAACATCTGCACAGAAATGCTTAAATACACATCTATCCAAGCACCTTAGCTCTTTTAAACAGATCTCTGATACGAGCTGAACCAACCCCAACAAGAACTTCGACGAATTCAGATCCTGCCATTTGGTAAAACGGCACACCAGCTTCTCCCGCAATGGCTTTTGCCACAAGTGTCTACGAAAGCACATCAGGTTAGCTTTAGGCTTTACTGCTAGTTTTTGGATTGTCAAAAGATCCACTTACTGACAACAATAAATCTTTTAGATGGGCATTAACATTGATTGTTACACATACCTTGCCACAACCCGGAGGACCCTCTAGAAGAACACCATGAGGAGGTTTAATTCCCATCTTATCAAACAGGTCGGGATTCTTCAAGTACTTCACAAGCTATCAAGACAATGTGATAATCGTATGACAATATGAGGTTAGTAATCTTTTGTTCCCGGTTTCTCTCCAACTTACAAGATTTCAAAGAAAATAATGTCATGCAACTTTGTACTTACTGGTGTACAGTAAAGCTCTAATGGTAAGATTTTAGAGGCTAAGCAATCTAAACCCAAATATCAAAAGGAAACGCTAAATTAATGCTAACTAAGTATGCGAACCAGGATCATAATAAAATAAGAGACCCTTACTCAGCTAAGAACTGACGCAAGCATTACAGGAACGGAATTTGAACACAATTATCTAGTGCATATAGTATTCGTTATTATGAACAAGCTTTTTGCATTAACAAATTCTGAGTTATTTTGATGAATGTTCATGAACTTAGAAGATATAATACAAGTGCTTGTGATAACGGCAAACAATCTTTATGTTTTGTATCTAAAAGTGGTAATTTGGCCAAGAGATACCTCTTGAAGTTCGTCAACTGCTTCATCAATCCCTGCAACATCACCAAATTTAACGCCAGTTGAACCCTATAACATAATCATTCGGTGTCATTGAAACTCAACGAAAAAGGTATTAGAATTGAAGAAACGTGCATTTAGAGTAACAGTTAAAAACTTACGTCAACACGAGCTTCTGCTTTAGACTGAGAAAAAGCAATCCCTTGCCATAAATCCTGCAAAAAATGTTTTAAAGTGATTGAGAGCAAAAGCAATATCACTGAAAACACGTAAAAGCAGGCATTATAAAATTACAAGTATTATACCCATTTCCTAAAGTTCTTTGGTCTACGTGACAGAGTGAAACGAACAAGAAGAACCATAGTCATGACAACAAGTAGAATTGGTTTGAGCATCTCAAGGCTTGATGATAAACCACCAAATGTGTAGAAATCAGATAGCCGAGAGAAGATGCCCCCATCGGCGAGAACATCGACAAGGTAATCCCATGATCTTTCAATAGTACCGACGACGATGCCAACAAACAGTTTAAGGAATGGCTTAACTATAGGCCAAACAACATACACTGTAGTGACAAAGGCGAAGCTTGTGACAGCAAAAACAGCTGAGGCTAAGAATCCTCCAACAACAGCTGCCGCTGCAGCAATAACTGCTGTCACCATTCCCAGCTCAACCATCACTCTACTTGAAATAGAAGACGCCACTGGGTTTGGGAAGTCCGCCACTTTTCCAACCCAAGACTGCAAATAAACATTTGATAACTAAGTCAGTGACCGGACACAATACATCTGTTTGCCAACCTCTATCTACATAGACAATCTAAATTCCACTCTAGTGAATAGTTTCTGAAAAAATTATTAACTAACACAGTACAAAAACATGGAGGGAATTGGATCATAATCTCGTAAATAAAATCCAAATAAACAAAAGACTGATCACCGTCATGTGCCTTTCTATTTCGTACTGCGGACCAGTGTAGTCTTTCAGAAGAGCTTGAGCTTCTCCAACTTCAAGCTTCATTGACCTATTAAAAAAAAGTAGTTCACTAAGAAACAAAAGCAATATTCTGAATCCATCTTAAATAAACTTTTTTCTTCGTCTAATCCTAGTAATTCACCATTTTGTTCTTTGTAAGCTCTTGACTCCAGGAATTTCCTTAAGATCAACGATGAAATCTCTATAGCCGGTCGTGTAAGGAACGCCAGAAGCTTCATTCGATGTCAGCAGCTTAACTTTATCATTCTTCATTGCTTTTCTGAAATCTTCTAAGCTCATCTTTGGTAACTCTTTCACATTCTTCTCAAAGTCCTCTTCCTCGGATAACTCTGGCCCAAAAACTTGCTCGGGGACATAAAGCTTTCCCTTGTATTCCCTCAGAATATCACTCAAATAAACAGACTCATTTCCAATTTCGCTTTTCTCTGTCTCCATTTTCGTCTTCGAACCAAGCTTCCTTTTGATAAATTCAAACGGACCCGTCTCATTGGCGGCTCTGGTTAAATCCTCTCTCTCCTTCAGATTATACAGCTTATCCCCAACTCGGTAACGAGGTTCCACCTGGCTAGGATTCTCCTTCAAAACCCTAGTTACGAAATCTTCACCAGCGGGATTGTTCTCCTCGCCGGACCGAGATGACCCAGGTTTCAATTCGCAAAGAACCGTAAACGAACGACGCAGAATTGGAGCTCTCCATCGAGTTTTCGCAGCAAAACTCGATGCAGCCGCGTGTTTCCAGATCGATTTCTTGTGATTCTCTGGGAAACGAATACCGAGCGAGAAGACAGTGTCTACAAAAGACATTTTACGACGACAACCATGCACAGGGGAAAAACAAAAAGAAAAGCTTTCACCAAGTGAACCTTGCAAGATAGAATCGCATTGCGAATTTTGAATTTTTCCAGATTGTTTTTCTGGATAAGAAAATAAGCAAATCGGAGGTTTACTGAATCAGAGAGGTTTTTGTTCTGTTTAGCTCCACGGCCACACTAAACTGCAAACATTTCGCTTCGCTGCGTTTTATCCGGCCCGACTCAAAACGGGTTTCTACTCCGGGTCGAAATGACCCGATTTTTGTTTCCCTTTTTAAAAAAGTTTTAAAACTCTTATCCCTACCGATGAACTGTTAAAACATCGCTACCAAACATCTCCTCTGAGAGATGGCGAAGTCTTCTTCTTCGTCTGGCCGAACAAACCTCGCTTCATGCGCCGTAGCCACGAGCTTCATCGTCCTCGTAATCGTCGCCGCCGTTACCGTTTACCTCACCGTCTTCAGACCTAGAGATCCAGAGATCTCCGTCACTAACGTCAAGGTCCCGTCATTCTCCGTCGCCAACAGCTCCCTTAGCTTCACCTTCTCCCAATTCTCCGCCGTCAGAAACCCAAACCGCGCTGCTTTCTCTCACTACAACAACAAAATCCAGCTCTTCTACTACAGAAACCGGATCGGTTTCATTTTCATACCCGCTGGTGAGATCGAATCGGGTCGAACAAAGCGTATGTCCGCTACTTTCTCTGTACAGTCGTTTCCTCTCGCGCCTTCTACTTCTCAAATCTCCGCCGCCGATTATCAGCGTTCTGGATCCGTTTATGGAACCGGGTTAGTGGAGGCGGATAAGCGGGCCGGGTCCACAGTGGAAATAGAGTCGAAGCTGGAGATGGCGGGTCGGGTTCGGGTTCTGGGTTTGTTCACACACCGAATCGCAGCAAAATCGAATTGCAGGATCGCGATTTCCACGAGTGATGGGTCGATCGTAGCCGTCCGTTGTTGATACCAGTCTTTGGTATCAAACAAACAAAAATGTAAAAGTGTTATTTTATCTAAACACATGTAAAACCTCTCTTGGGTTCATTTCTGAATCCTAAAGTTAGAAATTGCAAATATAAATACAAAGATTTTGTTTATACTTTTAAGAGTTACAACTTAAATTGGACCAATACCAAAGAAAACGGCATTTCTCAAATTTTCAATAAGATATTTAGTTCATCATTTCCTTTACAAATTGGAAAAATAAAGATCGACTTACAGGGAACGAAGATGTATTGTAAACAGAAAATGAACGAATGATTACATCCAATCAGTGTTAAGATATATAGAACCAAAAGAGCACAAATACATAAATGACAAGAGAAAATTTTCAGAGGTTGAAAATGTATGAACTGACGATATAAATATCAAGAGTTGCTATGACAAATTAAGATTACACGGATCTTCCCATTTTCTTCTAAATATTCTGGTTCTTATCAGCGTCTTTTCATGTAATTATAAGAATAAGTAATGCAAAAGGAAAAAGAAAAAGAAACGACAACTATGAAGAGCCATTGGAGGAGGAATCGTAGCCGTAAGGATTATTGCTGGCCCAATTCCATAGATCCCTACACATCTCCTCGACTCCATACTTAGCCCTGCATTGATACCATTACAAACAAATATAATCAAATATGAAATGTTTTGAATATGAAAGTTATAAAATTAAAAATCATCTCAATATCTACATAACTGAGAATGATTGATGCATTGAGTTTCATATATGGCATTGACAATTTTATTGCCAAATTGCAACTTTTTCCATGTTCTAGTTCTTCTAATATAGTGGCAATATAAATCGACTTACTTCCAGTTTAGTTCGCGTTCTGCTTTTTCCGTTGAGGCGTAAACAACTTCAGCATCTCCAGGACGTCGTCCAGCCATCACCAACGGGATTTTCTATTGGGAAACAATACAAAAAAGTTACAATCAATGATCGAAAATTGGCCAACAACAGCTCATTTGGTTAGAGCTTTTTGCTATTAAACAAACCAATAAAATGTTTTACCTTTCCGGATGCCTTTTCAAAGGCAGAGACCATTTCTAGGACAGATGTTCCATTACCCGTTCCAAGATTGTATACCTCACAACCTGACCAACATTTTCCAAAAATTGAGCTTTGGAACCAATGGCAAAAATCAATATATGAGAGGAGAGACAGTAAAGAGTCTAAAGATAATCCTTACTTATTTTGAGATCATCAAGCTTCCGCAGAGCGGCTATATGTCCATCCGCCAAATCAATGACGTGAATGTAATCTCTAACCTGAAAGAAAAATAACAAAGACGGATCAAGATTGTTGTTATATTTCCCATATTCTACATAGCAACACAGTATGAGACTGTTGTGGAAATCTGTCAAATGGTTTCTTGTCTACGAGAGACATCATAAAGACATACATACCCCTGTACCATCCTTTGTATTGTAGTCGGTTCCAAAGACGGTGAGGTGAGGTCTCCGGCCAACTGCGACTTGTTGGACATAAGGCATGAGATTGTTGGGAACTCCAAGAGGATCCTCACCGATGTGACCACTAGGATGTGCACCAACAGGGTTGAAGTATCTAAGCAATATGATCTTCCATTCAGGGTCAGAGCGATGCACATCCCGACAAATTTCTTCGATGAAAAGCTTACATAGCAACAACCAAAAAATCTCAGTCAGATTCGTTTCCTGATTGTCATTATCACTATCACAAGGTGGCTTTTGGTAACTAATCAGCCTAAAATTACTACCTTAGTACGGCCATATGGGTTAGTTGCAGAAATTGGGGATTCCTCTGTGCAAGGAACCTCTTTTGGCCAGCCATAAACAGTAGCTGATGAAGAAAACACAAGCTGGAAAACAGAGTGGTAAAAGCCAATTATGAGATCAGACAAAACCCAAAAGAGGAAAAATGAATACAAAAAAAAAGGGAATCCATGTGGTGGCAATTGGCAAAATGGAGAAGAAGAATATTTACATTTTTGCAGCCGTGTTGAGCCATAACCTCCAAAAGCGTAATAGTTCCAACAAGATTATTATTATAATACAGCAAAGGCTTCTCCACACTCTCACCTACTGCTTTAAGTCCAGCAAAGTGTATCACTGCATCAAACCTGTAATAATTCCACGTTTCATCACACCAATTATATGAACAGTCTAATCATTTGTTGTCTTAGAGGTCATTAAAAAATGGAAATTTCTTTTATTTTTTCAGTCATACTTTGTTTCTGAGAAAATCTTCTCAAGCGAAGGCCTGTCTCGGAGATCCACCTGCAGGTAAGGAAAAAACTAGTGTTTTAAGAAACTAAAATGACACAAGGAGATTCTCATTTCAGAAATGGCAGGCGTAAATTTAATATTTTAGGCATTAAAAAGCATCATAAAAATTCTGATTCGCCTTCTTGAAGAACATACCAATTCCAGACAGATCAAAATGTGTCAATATATAAATATACCAAATTGGGATAATAATATTAAAATACTCTTTCACATGGCAGTGATGCTTTATTCTGAATTTATTTAAAATTGGGATTAGCCACATGATCCACAGATTATTAACCAGAACACTGGAATCACACACCATCATCGTAAAAAATGACCTATTGTCACGAAAATTTGATCAACACAACCATGGAAAAAAAGGATCTCGCGTCCGTCGTTAATCAAAATTTTCAATAGTTCACAGATAGACGGAAATTCCCATTTCCCAGAAATTGAAAACTATTCGAAGACGTTGATACGAAACTCTTATTGGCAAAAAAAAGGTTCAACACACGTTTCCTAAGACCTAACAAGCAAAAATTCGCCGAGAAATTTATAATTCCATGGAAAGGGAAGGGAGAAAACGAAAAGGGCATCGGAACCTGGTGGAAGGAGAGACGGTCTCCATTTTCGCCGGCGAGTTTCTTCACGCGCTCGAGAGAAACAGCAGAGGAATTGTCGAGATTGTCAACAACTACGGCGGAGTAACCACCGTCAAGCAGTTGAAGCACCGTATGACTTCCGATGTATCCAGCGCCGCCGGTAACCAGAATGTTCTTCGCCATCGTTAACGGAGAAAAAGCTCGCAGAGAGTTATAATTCAAAATTCGTAAAAGTGTTTTGTTTAGGAATCGAGCAAAATGGGTTTTATAGAGCGGTGATGAAAGTTTTGACTGTATATTTACTACGTTTCTAGAGAGAGAGGTGAGAAAAGAAAACGTGCCAGGTGTCATAATCTGGTATGGGTGCGAATATACCGGATTGCTTGAAATTGTCTGAAGTACCCTTTTAAGTTTCTTTTCTTCTGAATGGAAATGTTATTATTGTATTATTATTGTAGGTCTTAAATACTTTTTAAGTTTCTTTTCTTGTGAATGGAAATGTAATTTATTAGTTTCGCTTTCAATAGAAAGATTATCGAACGAATGGATATATTTTCTCTTTTTCACGAGAAGTATTCTCTTAGATTATCCGAATATTTTTCCGAACAAAGATATTTCATTTTCGATTAAGTTGACTAATTATTGTGGTTGTTTTGCTTTCATGGAAACTCTTCCAAGGTAGATCTTATTTCTCCAGAAAATACGGGGTCTCTAGATTTGAGAATATTTCTGTATGTTAAGCATTCCAGGATTGTTTGTACTTTAGGTATAATTTAAGTTAAATTAAATTTCTACTTTAATGCTATGCGAATCAAGTTTTTATTTTTTTACATATATATATATGTATTATATATTATGTATGTGCTACAAAAATGAAAACAAAACAGCTACAATTTCGGAAAGAAGTGGCAACACATTAGTGTAGATGCATTTTTGCAAGAATTGAGAACATTGGATCAAATTATCAATAATAATAAATAAGAATGAATCCGTATAGCTTTTATTTTATTTTATCATATCAAATCATATACTAATCGGTTGCACCGTTGACATCAACTTTCCCAAGGACTTTCCGTGACTTAGGTCTCTTTAACACCTTTTTACTGTTTTCAGTTATGAATTCCCTACATTTCTCGTGAATATTCTAAGAAATCAACACATAATGTAATTTAGGTTGAAACCCATTCGACCAGAAAAGAGTTGCAATTATATTATAGTATTAGCTTAACGATTCAATTTGATGATATATATATTGTGGAAGTGAACTCTATCATCGTTATTGGCTTTGAATTAACATTAGGGATAAGTCTGATTTGTTTAGTTGACTTCCGCAGCTCCGCTTGTCAAATTAAGTGACGTTCTAAATTAAACAACTTCTCAAAATCAGATGTAGACAAGGCTTTAAAAAGTCAAGAACAAAAGGACTCAGTTGCCGACCATATTGTGAATAATTCATTGAATAGTCTTCCACGATTTTCTGTCAAATTCGTCATTTACTTGTGTCAAATTTCATTTGGTTAAAGTAAAGAAAGATTATCAACGTGGATTCGCAAGAAACAACTACCATTTTTATATCAGATGATCACGAAGTTTCTTTAATATATTTTGGTTTTGAAGCAGACCCATAACCAAATATATAAGACAAATATTGGTAATAATACGAGTGACCAACGTGTACAAAATGGAAACGAAATGTTTGCGTCACCAGATTAAAACGATATACAAACGACAAGGAAGATGGCTTCATGACATTTACGTATACTGAGCCAAATCTGTAAAAATAAAATGGATTAGGTCAAACACAAAACAGAAGAGCAGTTTGGAGTCTTTGGACCATTAAATGTTCGTGAAGATATTAATTCAAAAGATAATTTATCTGATGGAGTTAGGTCGAAGTATTTAGCAGCTTCTCGATAGTACTTAGGGCCCGGGACCAGAATATTTAAATCTTTAATGTGTAATTAGCACAATGAAACGTAATTATTTTGTTGCCGAAAAAACAGAAACGTAAATATTTTGTATGGTTCAGTTTTTGTAATAGTCAATATTTACTTAAATCATAATTTATTATTTCCTAAAGTAATTGTTACATCTTCGAAAGAGAGAAAGTTGAATTAGTATAGAGGCAAATGAAAAGAGAGAAAAGTTCCCAATTTCTTCCGCCTCAATTAACTGAGACCCAGTAATACTACAAGGAACGGGAGAAAAAAAAAAACGCATTAAAAAAAGAAGAAAAAAGAGCATACATCAAACATCCAAATGTAACTAGCTGCAATGGAACACACCGAATGAAATTCCAAGATTTCATTTCTTTATTTCTTTCTTGGAAGCATTTTCAAGATACGTAGTAACTAGAACGTCAATAGATTCACAAAAGAATTGCATGGCTTTAGTGTTTAACAAGAATCTAAACCCAAAATGCCAAAATTCTAAAGAAAAGGAACATCCATAAAAGCTTTGTGGTTTCTCAGTGAGTAAATCTTCTGGCTCTAGCCCATGGTGGCAACCTTGGAACTTGCACTCCAACGCCATAGTTGTTATTAATTCTCTGCTCTATCATGCTTGCAAAGCGAGAGTCCAATGTCTTCCTCTTCCCTCCTCTCCTTTCTACTTTCTGATCTCCCTCATGCCTCTGCGGATCAAGTTCCACTGTTAGTTAACTCTTAAACATTCACTATAAACCTCTTGGATATTGATATCAAGGAGTTGAGCACGATATTCTCATCATAACACATCAGATATGCATTTACCAGACCCAAACCAAACAAAACTTCCTACCCACCAAAATTTCTATTGCAGTTCTCATGATTCAAAATCTACAAACGATCCCAAGACCCTTAGGGGGCAGTTATAGATATGGTTGCAGTAAGATAAGGAAGCACTTCTGTGAAAATATATCTCAGGGCCCTAAAATCATATCAACAAGGAATTAAAAGAAGAGGGCCTACGAAGCAGGTCTGAAGAATATATGGCAATGGAAAATTTACCTTTGCAACGGATGTAGAGTGTACATATCTATTCTGGACTGGAGGAGCAACAAGCCTGCACAAAAAGAAAAAAGGATTGCTGAAGAAGACGTACAGAGAAAACCTTACAGAACAACAGAAACCTGAAGCAACAGCCGGTAACTGGCACCAGCAGATAAAATGGTCTGATACCGAGTTGAGAACAATAAGAGCTAATAACTTCTTCCTACCACAGAAGGATTTAAGGCGAAATCCAAGCAACAAAAGGATGGCAAATAGCCATTTATATTATAAGCAATGCAACCCTTCACTTCCCAGTTCTAGAGGCCCCCCGACGCTTGACACAACTCTAATTTCGCCGTAACTACACAGAAAAAGTGCAGCTCTTGAGATATTTCCAGGTCAACCAGACAAAACAACTTATCAAGGACCAAGAGCATAAAGCTCGAGGTGCAACCAAGATAAACATTGATAAAGATCCGGAAGTCTAAATGTTCTTCATTTTCCCAGTAACTGACATCTACCAGATCAATGTCCTCAGAGAGCTAAAGCAATTATTTCCAGGACACAACAAGAAGATGAAACATAACACCTAGGAGACTGACGAATGAAAAATGAATTGCATGAGTCCACTGAGGTCGTATGAAAGGCCAAGACGGTATCTCCGTATCGGATTGCTCAACTTCTTAATCTGATAATAAAGACCAACTTCACGTAGCAGAAATGTTTATGCTCAACCTAGCTACATCCTAACCACTGACGTCATATCAAAGGCCAACCCACAGTCTTGAGACAAACACCCTAGCCACTCACTGCTCAACCTTAATGTTCTTGAATCCTTTAACCCAAATCTCCAACCAAAAATATGTTTACTGACTCCTCCAAGTATCATCAGAAACTCATCTACATAAATTTGGATCATTATACTGAACCACGCTTATGCAGTCATCAATTAGATGACCAACTAGCAACCAGGAAGAGAGCTTTATACTATCCAGAGATAAACACCTTCTGGTAAGGAACTTAGAATAGAAGCTTCTTGAATCAGAAACAATCGAAGAGATTCCAAAGACTCCAGATAAACTAACAGGTCATAGAATTATCCAGCATTCTAAACCTTGACTGATTGGCACTAGTCATCCTTCCGGCATTGAAAGCTCTAGCACGGACACTGACTGGAGGAGCAGCAGTGGCGGCTTTACGATTAATGTTTGTTATAACAGGGAACTGATTTCGTTGGAAATTAGACCTTCTCTTAGCAACAGCACCCTGAAAATCATGAGATAAGTTACATACAAGACAAATCCACACAAAGTAACAACAGGATCCAAATGATAAGACAAAAAGGCCAAGAAAAGAGATCAACTGAGAAAACTGCAACGCTAACCTGTCTAACTGCAGAAAGTGAGCTCACATAAGGCCGCACTTTAGAGGTATTATTTCTCTCAGCACCATTGAAGTTCTGATTTTTGTTCTGCGCAGAGCAACGAAATTATATGTCAAGGATCATTTAAATGAAGTGACAAGAGACATGTAAGCCAAGATGAAGGTTTTTACCTTTCCTCTCCTTGTCTTTTTGCCCTTATTCACTCTGTTATTTTTCTTCGACAACTTGATGATATCATCTAAGGCAAGAAGATATAGATATTATCATGAGCAACAAAACAAAAAACAAAACAAAAACCTGGAAACGTAGAAAGCTTATGATGGTGTAAAACATTGATCTTACCTAAAGCCATGGCGACTTTCTTTTCGGTGAGAGCAATGGCCTCAGCTACAAGTGGATTTACAGTCTCCATCTGCACAAACAAATCAAATTCATTCACCGAAACACACAATTTCAATACGACATGTATGAAATTGTACACAGTCCATTAAAAAAAATGCACAAATCAACAAAAACGCTGTCACCATTGTATAACAGTAGTCACTAGATTGAAGATAAATGTAAAATGAAGTTCCGCGAAGATAAGAACGCTAATTTATACATGGAATCAAATATAAACCCACTCAAAGAGAAGCAAGTAAGCCAAAGTAATTACATTTCAATTGAGCAAGACTACGACTACGAATCGAACAAACAAAACCGAAATTCTTGGCCTCGAGAAGAATGCTAAGAAGAAGCAATGCTTTACCGATTATGAAGTAAAAGCTGCAAGCGAAAGCGACGAGAGAGACGAAGAAGACGACGGAAAGCTCGAAGCTAGAATGACTTTTATGCACATACAATGGCCGAGTCAAGTCGTCTGCTTCCTAAGATTTATACTGAGTTTTTATATCTATGGAGTCGGCGGATTCCAGCGATATGTTAAACCAAGCAAATCGGATTTCAAGTCCGTCTTATGCGTCTCACTGTATCAAAGGGTTTTCATCGATTCGATCAATTTTTCACGTGGCATTGTATCATTGGGTAATATCAAAACATTAACAAATCATTAAAACAAGGGCCTTTCGATCGTTTTTTTTTTCTTTGAGTTGAGAGATTTCAGAGTAAAGGAAGTATCAATGACTAGAAATATGAGTTTCAGTTTAGTAACTTTTCAATGACGTGAATGCTAACTACGCTACAAAGAAGCATTTTATATATACATAGAAATGAAAACTATACAGAGCAGTGACCAATTTTCAATTTACTGTAGCGCCATCGCTTGATCCATTTGGTAATCTTTCTTCTGGTTCAGACCTGGAATCAAGTTGCAATACCGACAGCCACGAATCCACCTGAAATCAAGAAAAAACAACCACGATTATCATCGCATTTTAAACGTTGCATGTATCTCTCAACAACAAACGAACATGTGTGTAAAGAAAGATGTATATATCTGTTTGGTTCACCTGTGTTTTAGAAGTGCTTGAGCACTCAAATCTTAGACCTTGACGGGTTAAGATGTAAAAGCAATGATGTGTTTCATCGAATTCTCTAGTGTAGCTTGGTAACGAACCAAGCTCAACAATATCCGCAAGCAATGTCGAATCTTGAGGGCTCAAGTCTGCGATAAGAGAGTTTCAAGATACATTTACAAGAGGCATATACATTTTGAGACTAGATTGTAAAAAGTGAAACCTTGACGTACCTGTTGATAATAAATAGAAGAACAGACAAGCGCCTTGAAGGACAACAAACCGAGGAAGCCAGTCATCTACTTCTGCATCGTCTAGCGGAGGTGGTTCACCAGGGAGAGCCGCCCAACGCTGAAGTTAAACCGTAAAAAAAGGGGCAAATTTATAAAAAATAGAACATACACTAACTATGAGTCTTGTAATGATAAGTGGTTCGGAGTAAGAAGACCCTACACTTCGGATAAACAAATAACCAGATAAACGAGCAGAGCGCAAGACTTCATCCACATGTTCCAACCTATGTAAGGGGTAGACAAAAAAAATAAGAAAAGGTTTTGATCTGAGTAGGAACCACTTTTGAGCATATGACTTACTGTGCTTTGAGGTAAGCTTCCCTTTCTTCCAAATCAGAAAGTTCTGATCTCAGTGATTCTAACTCCGCTGCTGATAGCTCTACCTGCAAATCAGGGATTGCTGAGTGATCAGAAAAGACTCTCAAAACTTGGATGCGGTGAATCAAAAACAAAGAAGAAAGTTTTGAGAATGGAACCTTCTCTTGACCATCTGAGACCCATGGCAAACGGCGAAGAGTGAACAAATTCAACATGGATGCTGCTCTTTTCAGTTTTCTGCGAGTCCTGGACTGGCTGTGAGACCTATTCTAAACAAAAGCACCAACATTACTACTGATGTCAGCTCAAAGTTTCGCCCTTTTGTAGCATATTTATGTACTAACAAGTCACCTCAAAGATGATGGAGAATCGTCTTTTGGCTGCGAAGATGATGGAGGATCGTCTTGAGCACCTTCCGTGGTGGGAGTAGGAACACTAAAGTGATCAGGTAAGATATTTAATCTCCTAGGAGTACCATCATCCATGAATCTCTGAACTTTGCACCAGAAAATGAATAAGCGCAGCAAGAGATCCTGCATTTAAATGAAATGACAAAGTAGTAAACTTCAGATGCCATATGTCAAAAAGAGTCCTCATCTGAGCATGATCAAAACTAGATTTTGATATGAAGCCAACTCTTGAATGAATTTTAGTATGCTATGAACACTTAACCTCGCTAAATGACCTGTCTCAGTTTCTATCTTATGCTTTTCTTATCATTAGATCGGAAGATCCTATTCTGAGAGAATCATCACAGGAAAGAAACATATCAGCTAGAGATTCTTATTCTTCACTGAGTATCCAAATTTAACAATCCCACTTCGCCGCAAAAAGAAGCAAGCAAACCGGTGAAAAAAAATAAAAAGAGGATGAAAACGAGCTCTTAATTCCACTTTCTGGAGCTCAAATAAAATCTACACAGCATCGAAACCATAACCAAATACAAATATAGAATCTCTGAAATCGGAATTGAATGACGAGAACCTTTAAAGAATTTGAAATTTTTTGGCAAAACAGAAGACCGATAGCTTGCTATACCTACCTGATCGAAGGTTGAAGATGAAATTTAAGCCCAGAAAAAAAAAAGGGGAAACACGAAAGTGTGATTTGTATTTGTTTAAGGGGAAAGTGGTTTGACCTAACTGATTTTTGTTTGTTTGGATGCTCTTCAGCAAGAAATTGGATTTAGGCATTAAGACACTTCAAATTTAGTCAGAAAATACACTTTTACCCCCAGGTTACGTCGGCCCAGCTCTACCCATATGGAGGGCATTGTCGCGGATTCTACATTAATTAATTAATTAATTAACGAAGTTATTTGAGATAAACCTGGTTTATTAATGTCTCGAATCCGATGCTTCTGTACAAACATTTTTTTCTTATAGAAGTTGCCAACTACGTTTTTGGTGATGCCGCCGATGAGTGTAAACGACAGCTTAAGACAAAAAAGAGTGGTTGTGTAATGATGATTTATCTTGTTCAATCATTAATTTCGTTGACCAAATGCTTTATCTTGTTCTTGCAACCTTTTATTAAAAAAGTAAAAAACAAAACAAAATATGTTTATCCGAGCCCCCTAATGAAATAAAGATTCGAATTAGCTCAAGTTTAAACTTATTTGAAAGCCCAAATGGTAATACTCACCCTCCTAAATCACTATTCGTAACAAAAACGCATAAACCGGATCAGGTCCAAACAAGTGGACATATTGTAGATAGAACTCTTTTTCTTTTTTGTTATCTATTGGAATATTGGATATTTTGAGCCTCATCTAAGCGAAATCACGATATGTGGTCATTATAACGAAGCCGATCACACTTCTTACTTCTTCTACCTCTCCTGATCTTTCCTTAGTCACCTCTAAACTCTTTCTTCAGGCAAACTTTTCTTTAATGGCGACGACTTCGTTCACTATACCAACCATTCCATCTCCGATTCGGAAAACGAATTTCCTCGGTCAAACCCATCTATTTGCAGCTGCAAACCGGTCGATTTTCCCACCTCCAAAACAGCTATCAAACCCGCATCAAGTAAAGGCCATGGCTAAATTCAATCTATGGGAAGTGATGGGAGGAAGAGGATTATGCAACGGAGAGAAAGGTATCGAGAAGGAGCTCAAGAGGAACATAGAGGAAGAGACATCAAAGGCTGAGAGCGTGACGGAGAAAGAGAGCGATGGTGATGACAATACCTTATCGTTTAAAGTACCTGAAAACGGTTTCGATAAAGAGATGATGGGTCTCACCGGAGGATTTCCAGGCGGCGAAAAGGGTTTGCAAACCTTCATTGAACAAAATCCGCCACCGCCTCCACCACAACAACCGCCTGCAAAACGTGGAACCGATGTATCTGCGGTGGCTGCGGATAAGAAGCCGAGAGCGCCCGAGCTGCCGCTTCTCATGCCGGGAATGATCGCTATAGTCAAGAACGCGAACAATCCGTATCACATGTATTGTGGGATTGTGCAGAGAATCACTGATGGCAAAGCTGGTGTCTTGTTCGAAGGAGGGAACTGGGACCGTCTCATTACTTTCAGGCTTGAAGAGCTTGAACGAAGAGAGAAAGGTCCACCGGGTAAGAATCCAAAGTCTTGTGTTCTTGAGCCTCTTCTCGAACAGATGCAGAAAGAGGCAGAAGCACCACCATAAGTGATCCTTGTATTCACTTTCCTTTCCATGTTAATGTTTATGTAAAGAAGTACCTTTGCTTTTAGGCTACAAGATCTCTGACCGGTTGTAAAAGAGCTTCATCATGTGATATAAACAGAATAAACGATGACTACCAACCATAATGCATAATAGGGATTAGAATGCACTTAATCAATGGTATACCAGTATAGTAAATAAATTCAGTATATATAAATAAAAAACTTCGAGACCGCAATGGAGTTGTTTTATTAATTGTGTCATTGGACATCAGTTTCTGTAGAAAAACAATTTTTGACTCTTAAGTATATTCTGTGGTGAATTGTGAAGAAGACAAGAGATCCACCATTTCTCGTCAATAGGTAATGATGAATAATCAGATGCAGCCTCCCAACTGTGAAAATTAGCAGAAAAAGGAGAAGTTAGAAATGTAATAAAACGATGGAAAAAGAAACTCAATATTCGTTTTTTTTTTGGGTCCATAAAGTTAGTAGTTGGTCACGCCATTAGGATACCCTCAGCTAAACTCAAAAGATGTAAATATGAAGTGTTGAAGTGAAACTTAAACCATGAAAATGGGTAAGACTCTTGTTTAAGTGTTTATTCATGTCCAAGAAAATTACTAACCAATATGGCTTCCATTTCTTCGTTTGAAACTGGCGTGCGCTTAGGCTGCATTGATGCCTTCCCGCCTATAGTTTTTGGCATGTTCAAATTGGAGAAGAAAAATGCATCAGCTTCATTTTCCACCTGCGTCTTGCCCTCTGTGATTTCAAAATGTGTAAAAATCTTAAAAGCCAGCAACTAGATCGCATCTTCATGAAAATCTCCATCAGCAAACAGATCATTCATATTCCCAAATCAAGCTAAAACCAAAAGAGCTTGTACAATGATCTAACGTATGATGGTTCGTTATTAGGATGAACGAGGAGTCAGTTTTCTTATCTAACCAAAGTCTATAACAAAAGCAATTACACACAGAGATTCAGAGACAAATCATGAACAAACTTCTTTTGGCTCAAATCCTTCCATGTCAAAACTCCGAAGAGTCTCCTCTCTAACGATTCAAATTACTCTCAATACTTTCTATATCCTTGAATCTAGGTATCTATAAGCTAATTTATATGTAAATGCAATTCGATGATATTTTCTCGGAACGAAGCAGATCGAGGAAAGAAGAGAAAATCCACGCCAAACAGGATACTATCTCATATCGGATTCGTGACGATGAAACCGTACAGAAAAATTCCGATTCAAGTAAGAACTTCAAACGAAGAACGACATGGATTCTGCATACGATTACACTAATTGATCAAAACCTGAAGGTTTCAAATGTCGCTGAGGAAATTTGATGCGAGGAATCCTCTTCAACCCGTGAACTACGTTCATCTCTTTCGCTTTCCTCTCTCGTCCGTACCAAAGGAGAATGTTGACGGCGACTTAGAAATTTTCTCTGTTTCCGATTTTTCGAACCTTCGACATTGTTTTCAAGTTTCTCCACGCGTGGGCTATTTTGCGATAGTTAGGCCCAGATAAGCATAAAGCCCACTTAAGAAGCCTTTCCAATGTTTTTTCCGGTATTCCCAGGTTTTGCATTTGCAGTACCAATTGGAATCAATCCCGGTTCGGCCATTGTTCAAGACTTCAAGTAAAGCTTCGATTGATAAAACGAAAAAAAATGCGGGATTAAGTAATCAAATAAAATCTATGGAGTTTTTAAAATCTTTTATAGATGTTATTTATCGTTCAATAATAACAAAATGAGTGAATTGTCTAGGATTAGTAGGCAAGTGGTCTTAGTGACACATTGGTGAACTGTTATCTCGCAGTCTCAGTCATCGAACTGAGCTTCGATCCTATTCCTTTAATTGGATAGAAAATAGGTTTTCAAGTGTTGAAGAAAATGAAAATTGTAAATTTTTTAAAAAAGTGTGATTGGTAAGAGCATACAGAGAGTGATTGGTATGAATCACATGATCATTCTACCATTATGCCATCCTGTCCATCCGGACTACCGTAAGTTATCTAACATACTTCAAGTTTTTGTTGGTTATATAAGTTTTGTGTATTTTTGGGTTTATTTTTGAAGATTTGTGGTTTTGGGTATAAAGTAATAGTATCAATGCATGATGTACTTAGTATTTGTATGAAAGTATGATACACAAGATGACAAGAAGATGAGTGTTTGATTCTTCTCAAAACAAAACCAAAAACAAAAAAGATGAGTGTTTGATGGAAAAAGTTAGCATGAAGACTTAGTCAAGCGCAACAAAAAGAAAAATATAAAATAATAAATGTGGTTGGTCGTCAAGCACCAAAATTGGGTAAGCTTTAAACGCGTTATCTAAATTAACCACTTTTTTTGTTTCTTTTCTTCTACTCTAATACATTTACGGTTCAATATATATAATTCTCTTTATATAAAAGTTTTATAAATATCCCAATACGATTTGGTAGTGATGCTTTTAGACGACGGTCTATACCATGTTATCATATGCGATGATATTTCTCAGGACATCATGATCAGCTTTTAAATCAATATTTGATCAATTACATAAAGAATCTGTGACAAACACAAGAGTTCATATTTGTTAGCTGGAGTAGTATTTACTGAGTTTAATTTTCTATTAGTTAGACTAGTTCAAATAAAGTAATTGACCATTTCTTCATATACAAAGAATGCCATCAGTGGCACGGCATCATTTTGTTTGTTGAAAATTCTGATTTTATATAATTTAGAGCGTCTAGTAGTTGATTTTTCTGATAGATAATGACTGAAAACTGGATAAATGTGATAAATTTACGTAACATCATTTTCAGACGCATAGGAGAGAAAACTTTAAAGTCATGTGGTAAAGCTTTTTGACTGATTAATGATGTATTACGTTTATCTTAATTCCATTAGACCGTACTCCTGCTCCTATATGACTCAATTAATTCAGCATAAACTCAGGGACAGTTACAAATGCATACATATGATGTACATACTCTGAGTCTCTGATACTGATATGATATTTGATTAACTTAACTGATGATCTCTAACATTTAAATTTGTATTCCTAGTAGTTTATAATTTTAATCCGTTATTTAATTAATCTTAAGCTTCTCGTAACTCAACAACGACTACGAACTAATGAACTTTTAAAATTTGTTTGAATTGATGCAGCTTACACTTTTTTCATATATATAGTAAAGAAAAACAAAAGTAGTACGAGAGAATATTTTGAATTCCCACGGCAAAGTGACGTCATTTTCTTACCCCAAAGCACACTCCACTACGTGTTTGATATATCTTCTACTTGGTCGCCTATATATACTCTCTTTTTCAATTATTCAACATACAGAAAAACAAAGTTGCATTACCACAAAATCAAGAAGATAATACCAAACAAAAAAAAAAATCTCTCTCCTTCTCTTTGTCAATAGAGAAGAAGAAAAAAAATGATGGATTCTTTAGCTAAATGCTTTAACGGACTTCAAGAAAGGTACGAGAACATTCTGGAAGCAAAACCCATCTACAGAGACGACTTAGACATAACGTTGCCTCTGAACGGACCAGAGGTACCAACCAAAAAGCCTCGTTGCTTGCAGAGAGCCAAGAGGATTGACAAATCCCTGAGGTTCGAAGAGGAAGGGGAAGAGGAAGGGGAAGAGGAAGAGATCATGGCAAAGCCTCTGGCTAAGAAAGAAGGTGTCAAGCCACGTAAAGTTGTGAGGTTTCAGCTAGAGAATAATAAGATATTCGAGCCGGAGAGGCCGGTGAGGTTCGATCTTGATCAAGAACTCGAACCAGAGGAGAAGCCGCTGGAGGAGAAGCCGCTGGAGGAGAAAGAGGGTTTGAGTATAGTTAAAGGGAAGGAAGAGGTTGTGAGGGTTAAGATCAAGATGACCAAGCAGGAAGCTCAAATGCTATTGGCGAAATGCAAAAACGACAGCGTTTTGGATTTCGAGCATGTTGTGGACCAGATCGCACACGTCCCGGTTCATCAGCTTCAAGTCGCTGTGGTTGTGGTTGCTAGTAATAATGAGCGACAGGGAAATGGTTGCTGGGATAATTTGTAGTTAATTTCCGGTTATTTATCGAAAATTTTGTAGTTTTAGCTTACGCATGCATCTGTATATACTGTATGTGTTCACATATCAATAGAAGCAACAGGGCTCTGGAATATTTTCTCGTTATCTCACAAATTAGACTGTTGTAAGTAGCTAGAAATGAACTTGGAAAGAATTTATATTTCTTGACTGTGGGTGTCAATCAATAAAATTTCGAATACTAGTTAAGAAAAAAACTGTTTTAGGCTTATTTATCCAATTTCGTAGCAAGCAAATAAATGAATGTTTTCGGTAATTTATGATCTATGCAGTATCAAGTATCAAGTTGTTAGGATTAATTAAGTATATACGTACCTTGATTAATATTCTCTTTGAAAATATATAATAATTTAGTATTAATTTGATCATCTACCTCTTTTTTTCCACATGTCCAACGAGACACGACAGATCTGGCTCATTAACTCTGCAGGTAGATGGAATATTGATAATAGTTTTTCTTATAACGTATTATACTATTTGTCACTTTTATAACAGTTATGCGTCGTTTGTTGTGGGGTAGGCCTTAAAGAAAAGCTGAATGTAGTATTGAATAAATAAGACAATCAACTACCCTCACTAGTTAGCATTGATGCATAGTTGCATACCTCTTTGTTGCAAATTTAATCTGATAGACGCAGGAAACATGACATTGGGATTAAAAAGTTTTAATTACATTTGTCAAGGCTAACACTAAAAGCACCAAAACTAACTTATACTATAAACTTCTAATTTATTTATGTTGACACATTGATGAGCCTTACATGAGAGACGAAAAGAAAATACATAATTTCTTTTTTTTTGGGATTTTCTCTGGAGTAAATAAGCATTTGCCCATTTCAAACACCGAAGATCTCTCACTCTGAGATAAAACATTTCTCAGGTGAAAAAAAAATCCATCGGGAAAAAGGGAAGAAAAAAACAGGCAAACGCAAACTCCCCCACAGAAAATCCGATCTTTAATAAGAAAAAAATTAAAACCTTAATCACTTAAATAAAAGGATTGAAAAAGTGATTACGAAAGTGTTTCTTCAGGCCATTCAGTGATTCTGTCCAACGATGGCCTCCACTTTCGACATCTCCGGCGAGACTCCTCATCTTCCTCCGCCGCCTTCGCAGCCGCTTCTCCGGCAGATCTCTCCGCCTCTAACTCCCTGAGAAAATCGCCGAAAGAAGCCAAAGTTGTTTCTCCTTTGCCGCTAACGTCGCCGCCGGCGTTTAACTGGAAAAGAATGAGTTTCTCTAACTCATCTCTTCTCAGAACAATCTTCACTTTGCGATCCTTTGTGTTGTAATCTTTCTTCACGTCTTCTTCTTCTTGAACCACTCTTTCATTGTTGTTTCCTCCCATCAAACAGTTTCCCATTTTTAAAAAATTTAAAGCAAATTTAGAAGCAAAAAGGAATAATAGTTTCTTGTTTCTTTTTGGGAAATGCCCCACAAAAAAAGTTAATAGAAGAAAAAAGAAAACTTGGGAAATGCCCAAGAAAAAAAAATCTTTCTTCTTCTCTTTTTTCTTCTGTGTGGATCAATTTGATGGAAGTTGGAGACTTGCATGGATCAATGTGTGATATGGTGTTTATATATAATCTTGAGTGAGTCTGTTTAACAAAATATGGATGACTCAGAGTAAGGATGCTGATCTGTTGGATTTATTATTTAAAAATGTACATTATCATTAGTTTTATTGTTTATATAAAATTCAACCAACCAAAATTTTTGTTATTCAGTTATGAAGAGGCTGATTTCAATCTTTAATTGAACAAAAATTCGAATTAAAAAATAGAGTTCAAAGCTAAACATACCAACAACTCAGTTAGCTGGACTAATTCAGATTATGCTTCAATACATTTGTAAGCTAGCTACTATATATATAATAATTTGATTGAATATAATTTCGTTATATCTTGTCGTATAATCTTAAAATAGTTTGCAGTATATATAGCTCTTTTATTGAAGAAGAACTTCTCCATTCTCGAAAGAGAAATAAATTATATAGAAAAAACAACGAAATGTATACTAGTCAAAATCGATAAATTCAATTAGAATCCAATGCGAGTACGTTTGAGTTATGTATCCTGCATGGTGCAGAGTTCGATAACAAATTTACACGTAACTAAATATGAATATGCATTTAGTAATTGATTTTATTTGGCATTGTTAAAACTTTAATAATTTTAGTACTACACTACTACTTAATTATTATCATATATTCAGTTTATTATTTGTAAAAAATATTGTAGAAGACACAAAGAAGGCAAGTTCATGTTCTCTCCGGTTAGTTGGTGTCTTTAAACCAAACCAAAACCGTGTTAAAACCTGGCAACGCACATTTATACCAACCACCAACCTGTCTTGTTTATCTTCTGATAATCGTCTAGATTCAGTAGCCAGTATAGTATACTTTAATTCGAATATAAAACCCATCTACTCTTATTAAATATAAGTGTAACATGTTAATAGCTTGTAGACACATTCATCTTCGTTTCCCTTGGAAATTAATCATTAATATAGAATCCAATAATTCATAGTATGATCTGTTTCAAACAATGTCAAACCCATTCTTCCAAATTATACTCTCTCTCCGGATTTTAGGGACCGAAAACGAAATTAATACAAAACGGATTTTAAAATATAGCCATCAGAAATCGATTTCTGTCAATCAAAACCACTAAACTATAGTCATTTCACGAATTTTCAAACAATCTCATAAATGATACGGTGCACAAATACAGTTGCAACCGTTATCGTATATAGCTAATAGAATTTGCATTATAAAGGCGATTGCGATGTGATAACCACAATTACGTACATATGAACAAGAAATAATTCATCATTATTCATAGAATAATAGTACTTGTAATGTCATTAATAAGCGGTCTTATCAGATTGAACCAATTATCAAGCGCTACGCGTCATGTAATTATTGGATTGCATCAATTCTTCATAGTTCTTATCACTCTGGGAGAAACTTCGTGGAAATTGCGTTAAGGACAACAAGTACGTGGATGTGTCACGGGGGCTGTCGTTATTTCCTACTTTTCCAAGGGACCAACTCGGCCACAAGCTTTACAACCTTAATCAATAGTACTTTTTGTTTTATCATTTACACATAACCAAAAAATTAACTGACGTGTCTATATATTCGGTAATCATCTTCTGATATACGATCTTTTAGTCAAGCAATAGTATCATTATCCATCATTAAGTTTAACCAATTTAATTGTCAATACCTCTCACTCTTATCTTATATATGGACTCACATGTAAATTGAGTTTGGTCGTCCTCAAGCCCAACACATAAAATTGTATACTTTGGGATTATAACAAATGTCTTTCCATTTTCCATCTCTTTTGATCTTTTTTTTTCTTCTTTGTTTCTACTTTCTAGTAAGAAAACGAAATGTCAATGACCAGAGTTGTTGTTTAATTCAAGGTTCTTATCTTCTATTCCACCATATCCCAATATCAGGGTTCGATCTCAAGAAGTTGAGATAATTTCATATAAAAGCAATTGAAAAATAAGTTATAGAATTAGTAGCTTATTTATAGTACTAATAGTCATAACTGTTTGTTACACATAAGGTACAAACTCCATACACTAAAGTACAAAGTCGTTTGCATAACTTAGGAACAAAAGACAGAAAAGAGCAGAGGAACCTCCTGAGTCCTCATTTCAAACCCAACAAACAACAACTAAAGCAAGTTAACATGAGATTGTGGAAAGAAAGACTTTATTACCTTAAACCTCATAAGCTTCACTCATCATTGACTTTTTGAATCACTCCATCTTTCTGCGTTTATTTTTCAGATTTGAAAACATTTGCTCAATATCTGCAGGTGTTATCACCTTTGACGGCCCAGCAGCCTCCTACAAAAACAAAAGATCATCAAAAGATCATCAGTGTCTTTTTACGATGTGCATCAGAGAGGGTTCCTGAGGAATCAAATGCTTTCAATATATATATACCAGTAAACCGCAGAGTTCTTCTTTGAAGTCTTTGATGCCGTGAAGGATCTCAACTTTAGCTACATGGTCGAGATTATTCAGAAGATCAAGTGCTTCACCTTCTTGTTTCTCCAGTTTCTCTGTTCTCTTCTCTTTCGCCTTCTTCTCGTATTCAACAATCGTGTCCTCTGCATCAAGTAAATAGCTTACCTTTCTCTTGCTGTACATCTCAAGGCACTTTTCGCATTTGCATAACATATCCCTCCAGTTTTTGGTCAAAAACAGCGGTTTCTTCTCAAACTCAGAACACAAGTTTAGATCCGTCGCAATAGCACAACCAGTGGCACGAACCGATTCAGAGTCGATAGAACATTCTCTCAAAACAGATTTTCCGGTTCCATTACTGTTCTCAGGCTGGCCAGGTTCAGCAGCTGTAGGGTTTTTCTTTAACTCGGAAGTGTCTGAACAAGCACTAGCAGAACCAGTGGAATCTACTTGAGCAGCAACCCACAATTTCTCGGGATAAAGTGTCAGAAACGAACAAACTGGGGAGCAGTTTTGACAAATAAAATCCTCATAAATCGGCTCTCCTTCCTCATCCATTGGAATCTGTTAACATCAAATAAGAAATTGAACTAACACGCCCCTCAAAAATGTCAATCGTACACAAAAGGGTAAGCTCTGGTCACAAACCTGGCTACTAACACTGTCTGAAGGTTTGAAACCGAGGTGCTCCTCGTGAAACCAATCTTCACAGATACAACACTGAATCATCTCCACTTGTTCTTCCACATTTGGGTTAGGGTAAGGTTGGTCGCAGGTGCAGTACAAGCCTTTAAAGTTATGGTTGTAAGAATTCTCAGAGTTTTCTACATCTTTGCTCGGGAGAAGCTTACACGCAAAAGCTCCAAACTTTGAGTTCCCGCAATCGCATCGGAAATTTCTCTTAGTCCAGAGCTCCAAAAGCTTCATAACCAGAACAATGTTCAACCATTAAGAAATTAGCAAACACCATCTCTCACAAAGATAGACATAATTATCTGTCTATAACTACTATCATTACCTCATGGCCATCATGACAAGATAAGCAACAAGCAGTGCAAACTCCAGCATTCCCCTCAGGGTTACATGTAATGCATGAGAAAATTGCCTGTCTTTTCATGTAACCCTTTGGGTAAGTACACTCATCTCCCGCATCTCCACCCAGCACCAAATCAGCCTCCTTCAGACCAAGAATCACCAAAAAGCAGTTAACGATATTAAACAAACACAGATTCTGAAAAAGCGGTGATACAATACGAAACCCAATTTATAGACTACTGAATAAACAGCTGAAGACACACACACATAATCAATAGCAAGCTCAATACTGTACAATAACCATCCAAAATACTGTTCTAGCGTCAGGAAAAAAAACAGTGAATTTAAGGTAGCAATTCATTTTCTGGATGTTTGTTTACACTAACGTCGAAACGGATTTCAAATTTCCAGGCTTTAGCAATAACTGAGTTAGAAAAAAACTCTCAAATTAGGAACTATATTTCCCTTTGTTATTAAGCTAAGAACTGAAAAATGAGAAACTAATCAACTTTTCGCGTAAGAATCAGGAAACATAAGCTTTTCAAAATTGATTATGAGGGGAAAAGAGAATCATTACCAGCTCTTCCGCGTCCATGCTTTCGATATACTCTTTGATTGATACGGTTCTCTCAGCATCATCCTCGAAATTACCCGATGCCATTTTCGCAATTTCCCACTAGTTCCAAAATCGATTACTCTTTTCACACCTGAAATTCCCCAGAAAAAGGTGAGAGAGAGACAGATCAAACTGGATTATAAGTTCGGGCTATTTGAAAGACTCAATTCCCTAAATTCCTGAAAAAACAGAAACCCTAGATCCTTAGCATAACATAAAAAAGTAATGTAAATCAGAAAATACCAGATTACTTGATAGAGTTTCAGACTTGTAAAAGTTAGGATTCACTTTACATGAAAAGAGAGAAACCAAGGCCAGAGAGAGAAATTTGTGGGAATATGAAGCTAAAAAGCACCAAGGGTTTGGAGAAAAGAGGATCCAGCGATTATTAATGCGAAGTTTATATAGACCAGGGACTTTATCGACTTTTTCCCGCCAATAAGGCCCAATTCTATGAAATATCATTTCTCATTTCCCATTTCCCTCCACTACCTTTTGTATTGTTGAATGCTGTTTTTCTTTTTCTTTCAAATCTCCATTCTACTAAATTTTGAAGTTAAATACAGATTTCATCAACTTTTTCAATACAATTTTGATATATCATATGGAAATATATAAACATTCAAATTTATCTCACAACATTCATAATAATATAAGTGATTTTTCTACTTTTAGGAAATTATGAATAGAAAGACGACATATAGATCTTGACGGCTATATTTGACCCGCATTTGAAAGCTATGCAAGAGGAAAAATTCCGCGCAAGTAATAAACTACAACAAAAAAAAAAACTTTGCAACTATCAACTCCCAAAGTCCGATTATATTCTTGAGTTCGAATCCTACCGGCACCGCAAAAATCTACTGTAATTTACTACTTTGACCTCTAAATCCAATGAGTTTATCATTATCCTTGAAAACTGTTATCATTATCGGATTCAGTGTATGCATTGACCATGACTATGTATACTCGGCCGACACTTACCGTATTGGGCTTAATACAACGCGGCGTAGCCCATTAAGAGGTTGAAAATGAATTTGCGTATTTGTTGACTTTTTGACAAGTTATGGTCAGTGAAGAGCAACCAATCGCAATCGCAGTAGGTTCTTAACTCCGATCCGCGAAGCCGTGTGGTCCCTCTATACCTCAGAAGAGAGAAAGCGAGAGAGAAAGTTCTGGTTCTATAGAGAGAGAAAGATCGATCATGTCGCAGCAGAAGAAATACATCTTCGAGGTTGAAGAAGGGAAAGAAGGCAGCGATGGAAAACCTTCAGTCGGGCCTGTGTACCGTAGTATCTTCGCCAAGGACGGATTTCCCGAGCCGATCGAAGGAATGGATAGTTGCTGGGATGTTTTCCGGTGAGATTCTCGCTCTTGTTTCACGATTAATCGATCGGAGTTTGTTTTGCATGAGTCCATTTCCCGAATCGTGCTGAGATTTTTGATCCGTGATCTGATTTTTTTTTACTGTTGACTGATCGTGGAATTTGTTCTGACTTGCGTTTTTTTGAATATTTAAGTAATAAGAATCATAAAGTTTAGCTTCATCTACTGTTTATCCGGCTTTGATTTATGTATTTTAAGTTGTTCGGATCGTAAGATCTACGTATTAGTCTCGTACGTATTCTCTTAGGAATCGTACTCAAGAGCTCTAATCGATAGAATTGTAAATTGTTGGTTAATGATTTTTCCTTAGTTACTTGGCAAATTACGAGTGGCATGTGAATAATTTACACTACATGCATTTGGTTGATATCTCCATTTTCTTTAGTGAAATATTGACATCTTCCTTTTTCTACTCTGCTTTTGTTTGCAGCATGTCTGTTGAGAAATATCCAAACAATCCAATGCTGGGCCGACGTGAGATTGTGGACGGAAAGGTGTTGTTATCTGTTTCTTGGGATTTTGATTTTTGGTGATTTCGTTTAAAGTTGTTATAGATTTGCTCACTTGTATTTCATTCTTCTCAGCCGGGAAAATATATCTGGCAAACATACCAACAAGTCTACGACATTGTCATTAAACTCGGAAATTCTCTCCGAAGTTGTGGAGTTAAGGAGGTTAACATCCATCTTTACGTTCCTTATATCTATTTGTTCAGTTTCATCATTTCCTATTGATTATTCCATGACGTAATCTTGTGTTTACTGATATGTTGTGGGGGTTTAGGAAGCAAAATGTGGTATCTATGGAGCCAATTCTCCTGAATGGATCATAAGCATGGAGGTAATCTTGCGTCGGGTTCGTGATAATATCATTGATTGTGTTTTTGTTAGGGGACTGATAATGCACTTTCAATGTAGGCATGTAATGCACATGGACTCTATTGTGTCCCTTTATATGATACACTAGGCGCTGGTGCTGTGGAATTCATCATTACCCATTCAGAGGTTTCAGTCGTCTTTGTGGAGGAGAAGAAGATCCCTGAGGTACAGTATAAATACATCTTCAATGTTAATCTATCACTTTCACGTATTGATGATTTTTGCTATTTGTGGAACTTTTTCTCATCTCTTCCTTTTTGTTCTTTTGATTATCAGCTATTTAAGACATGCCCAAACTCGACAGAGTACATGAAGAGTGAGTAATGCATATTTGTGTTCTGCCCTTTTGGCTTTTAACATATGTTGCTAATGATCAATTGTGCTTGATTATAAATGTAGCTGTTGTGAGCTTTGGTGGTGTCAAACCTGAACAAAAAGAAGAAGCTGAAAATTTTGGGTTGGTTGTATATGCGTGGGATGAATTTTTGAAGCTGGTATGTGACTATCATGTGCCATTCCTGAGATGGATTGAGTCGTTCACTATTTTATTTTGCTATATTTCGTTCCAGTTGTTAGTAACTATGTTTACCATGCTTTAACTTTCCACTGCGAATATTTCTTCCAGGGTGAAGGAAAGCAATATGATCTTCCCATCAAAAAGAAAAGTGACATTTGCACGATTATGTATACTAGTGGAACCACTGGTGACCCTAAGGGAGTGATGATTTCTAACGAAAGCATTGTTACTCTAATTGCTGGAGTTATCCGTCTACTGAAAAGCGCTAACGAAGCCGTGAGATTTCTTCTTGCTTTCATGCAATCCTTAAGCTTCTTCTGTATCTGGCTCTGGTCTTAATTGAATTTTTTTTTTGGGCTGTGGAAATTTACAGTTGTCTGTAAAAGATGTGTATCTTTCATATCTTCCTCTTGCGCACATCTTTGACCGAGTTATCGAGGAGTGTTTTATTCAACACGGTGCTGCAATTGGTTTCTGGCGTGGGGTCAGTACAGCTCAAAGCTTCTTATTCAAACCTGTTTTGGATTTCTTAATTGTTACTTTAACTTCTCTGGGTTGTCTCCTCAGGACGTCAAATTGCTGATAGAAGACCTTGATGAGCTTAAACCAACTATTTTTTGCGCTGTACCTCGTGTCCTAGATAGAGTATACTCAGGTAAGATGTTTGAAAATTATATGCCCATGTATCTTCAATTCCCCATTTTAGTGAATTGTGCTCTTGTATCATCTACCTATTCCAAATAACTGCATCTGAGGTTTTACCTTTGTACACGTTACACACCTGCATACTAGCTGATGATGATATATACGGAATGGAAATATTATTCGCATTTCTGCGAGAATATTTATGAAAAGCTTTCATTCTGAGTATTATATACTCTAATTTTTCTTCTAACGATCAATTCGATTTCATATCATTGATATACATGGTTTTTTCTCTCCGAAAATCTTCCTGTTCTTTATGACGTTGACCTTTTATATAAACAGGTCTTCAGCAGAAGCTTGCTGCTGGTGGGTTCTTGAAAAAGTTCTTGTTTGATTCTGCATTTTCCCAGTAAGTCAGAGTTACCTTTGCTTATCTGTTTAACTACTATTTAAGCTATTAGATCTAACACACTCAAACATCCTCAGTAAATTTGGATATATGAAGAAGGGACAGTCTCATGTGGAGGCCTCTCCATTATCTGACAAACTTGTGTTCAGCAAGGTAGTAAATTCCTTGATTTAACTTACTTTCTACAGAAAATCGAAAGAGCCTATCACTCTTCGCGATGAAACTTCATAGCTATTAATTCCATTGTTATCTCACTCAGGTTAAACAAGGACTCGGAGGCAATGTGAGGATTATCCTATCTGGAGCTGCTCCTCTCGCTAGTCACGTAGAGTCATTTCTAAGAGTGGTGGCTTGCTGTCATGTTCTTCAAGGATACGGTACCCATTCACAACATTGAGCTCTTTAGATCCAAATGAACTGCTTAAACTAGCCAGATTCGTTAAAGTCACTATCTCACATCAATCACTTAGAGTGTGAGAACTAATTGGAATATTGTTCTGTGCGATCTATTTTTTTTTAATTGAGTCCCCCCATGCTCTTTGCGAACTTGTATGAATTTAATGGTTGGTTTCGTATGAATGTCGTATGAGAATATGCAAACCCAGAAGCAGCGATCTAGGCTACGTAGGTTGGTTGGTTAATGTTGATATATAATGTACAGTGGTATAGTGTGAACTAACAAATAGGAATTTGGTTACAAACGTTTTGGTCTTAATTTTGATAGTTAGTTTTTAGAGTTGGGTTTCTATTTGGGTTAATGCAACTTGTTCAGGTCTAGTAAACTTAATTAATTCAGTGTGTAGAGGTGATTTAGGCAGGCTAGGATATCAAAGTATGTACTAGAGTGTTATAGTATATTGATCTCACATCAACAGAGAATGTGATTAGTTGACTGTATTCTTGTTGTATGATTGTTCCTTTGTAGGTCTAACCGAAAGCTGTGCTGGAACATTTGTCTCGCTGCCAGACCGACTGGACATGCTCGGTACAGTTGGTCCACCAGTGCCAAACGTTGATATACGCCTTGAGTCTGTCCCCGAGATGGAATATGATGCTCTTGCGAGTACTCCACGTGGTGAAATCTGCATTCGGGGAAAGACCCTTTTCTCTGGATACTACAAACGTGAAGACCTCACAAAAGAGGTTCTCATTGATGGATGGCTTCACACAGGTATGTCTTTCTCTGAACCTGTATTCAATTAAGGAAGAAGAAAACATATTATGGTAGAGTTATTTAGGAACTAGTTAGAATATCGGCTTTTGTAATCCGGCGAGTTCTTCTTACACTCTCCTTCTTATCGCAATCTCATCAGGTGATGTTGGTGAGTGGCAACCAAATGGAAGCATGAAGATAATTGACAGGAAGAAGAATATCTTTAAACTCTCACAAGGAGAGTATGTAGCAGTCGAGAACTTAGAAAACATCTATGGTGAAGCACAAGCTGTTGATTCCGTAAGTATAGCTACCGATTTTGTAGTTTTCTCTCACGCATAGGTTTGGTAACTAAGATTCTCATCTACTAATAATCACAATCTTCCTCATCTTT